TTTTTTTTTTTTTTTTTTTTTTTTGTAGGGACTACCTTTATTGGTTGTATATCCTTGTTTAGTTTGGGCGTAGTGTGCTGATGTCGGTTGACATCTGCCTTCGTAATTAGTTTTGTTTTTGAGTTTAATATTAGTGATATCATTAATGGGAAAAAACAAAAAAAATAAAAAAAATATCAGCCTTATTTCCACCTGAATTTTTTATGTGGCCAATACAAAACTACCCTGAAATTTTTATGTGCCCAATACAAAACTATTTTATCCATATGAATTCTGTATTTATTTTTTCAATTAGTTCTACACGTAGCACTTTTTCATACGTTTGTGATTATAAATTTGACTCGTGATTGGCACCAATGACTTGTTACACCTTGCTAGATGTTGTGTTTGTGAATCTCAAGAATGTGGTTTAAGAAATCAAATAAAACACTAATAAAATGAACTAAAGTCGGGGCATGTAAGATACGTTCTCATTCAGACGAACAATCCTGTATAACCTAAGGTTTGCAGCTAGCGTCTCCACGGTACAACGGTTTTTGATTTGGGTATGCTAGGATTTTGTTTTGACATAATTTGAATAACCTTTTTATTTATTTTATTGTATTCCTTGTATGTCACTTGGAAAGAAAGAAAGACAAAATAAATGGAAGGTTAACTTATTTATTATATTTTTATGTGTTTCAATTGTTGAATACTGAGTTAGATTTAATTTAAACTCGTTTTGTTATTTAGTGTAGGAATATGGATGGAAAAGATCTGGAAGCGACTTGATGACTTGGATGCGGTTTTGACGCATATGGAGAGAGAATACCGTATACATGGAATAGCTGAAACAAGATCGTCTGAATCTCGCAATTAAAGAAAGTCATATTCTTACATAACTTCATACCTTCCAAATTAAAGGCGATTTTGGAGATTTTGAAGACTCAGCAATAAATGAAATTTACCAACAATGAAGATTCTGAAGAGCTACTGTCATAAAAGAGCTACTTCAGACTTTTCCATCAATCATTGTATTGTAACAATGGAAAGACAGAGCACATGACATTATGGAATTCTTTAGAGCTTAATTTTCATTTTGTTTAATAGATTTAGTTGAGCTTCAATTTGTATTCTTATGGGATCAAAGGCAGACATCTTTCTTTTATCATTATTCTAAGACACTTGGTAGAAGTGTTCGTGTACATGTAGATCAACCTCTCACCTTGGACGAGAGCGACTACCATCGGGATAAATGAAGTAGTAGTCGGTGTAGCGGTCGTTTGAGCACTTGAAGGAGATATTTATTTTTTTTCTCGGTTTCTATCTTATGAACTGACAAATATCTCATCGTAAAATTGTTAGATTTTTTGTTTGTGAATATGAAGAAAACGACTTAAGAAATTAGAAAAAAAAAATGATAAAATGAATCAAAGTCGAGACACGTAAGATACACTCTCCTTTAGACATACTAGCCTCGTATATTACCCACTGTTTACAACAAATGTCTCCAAGATACAACAATTTTGATTCGTGTATAGAAGTAACTCAAATACACACACCTTCAGCGAACAATACTCAACCTTCAGAAATTTCAAGATAGAAATGAACAGAAAGAACATTGGATGTTTATTATGAACTGTGTAAAAAGATGTAAAGAAGTACTCGTAAAATCTAATTTTGTGAATGATTTTATTACACGGGAGTTTATAAATGTTCTTATACATCTCCAGGGGATTGAAGTCAACAAAAGATACCTTTCGAAACGTGCCCATTCGTCCAAAACTGAGTTGGAACTTTTTCGTCACGAGTAGGCGCGTCCAGGTCACGTGCTCGTCACGTCTGCGACAACCCATCGTGCCAAACTGGAGGGTTGAGACAGGCGTCGTTGCACCAGTGACGTGGTCTGAAGCGCACCTGTACTCCAGAAGCTCGTACGTAGTTGTTCGAACTCGAAATCGTGATCTGTTTTTTACTATTTTCCCCAGTGAACTATTCTAGAGTTCTAGGAAGCATACTGCGTGATTATAACTCGTTTGGAATGTCCATAAATTCGTCAAATAAAGACTGTTTGTGAATCCTGCAATCTTTGAGTAACTTAAACTCACTTTTGAATTACATAAACTCAGTGTTCCAGAAGTCGCTAGGCGCTCGACCAGCATCTAGGCGGGGCCTAGTTGGCGCCTAGTCGGGACCTAGAAATCAATATTAAATACCTTATTTTTTATTTATTTTAACTACTTACAAAATAAAATTATCTCAACTTATTATAAATCGACACACCTAAGGTCAAATAATAAAATTAATATATTTTAAAGAAAACATGAGAACAAAATAATGTAATTAATATTTAAAAAAAAAAAAAAACTGAAAAATTGCCGCCGAGTCCGCCTAGGAGCGCCTAGGTCCGCCTATGCCCGCCTAGGCGCCGCCTAACCGCCTAGCCGCCGAGCCCGCCAAATCCGCCTAGGCGCCGCCTGGCTAATTTTTTCTACCGATTTGTGCAAATCGGAGGCGCCCGAGCACCGCCTAGCGCCTAGGCGGCCGCCTAGGCCAATTTTTAGAACAGTGCATAAACTTAAGTGAAAATATCTATTTTCATCCCGTTATGAAGTTTTGTTAAGTTTTTCACACCGCCCAATATAAAACTAAGTTTTTCACCCCAGAAAGTGCGAAGGTTATGCGAAAACTGTCGCATATTCATCGCATAAATGTCCATATGCGAAAGTTATGCGAAAAACTGTCGCATATCAATTGCATAACTGTGTGAAGGTTATGCGCAAACTGTCGCATATTCATCGCATAAATGTCCATATGCGAAGGTTATGCGAAAAACTGTCGCATAACTGTCGCATATCAATTGCATAACTGTGCGAAGGCATTGTGCGATGAATATGCGACAGTTATGCAATTGATATACCACAGTTATGCGACAGTTTTTCGCATAACCTTCGCATACGGACAGTTATGCGATGAATATGCGACAGTTTTCGCATAACCTTCGCACTTTCTGGGGTGAAAAACTTAACTTTTTATTGGGCGGTGTGAAAAACTTAATTTGTCTTTGTTGTGGGGTGAAAAATTTTTTTTCCCTAAACTTAAATTTCCCCACATTTCTACTATAAAATTACATTTTCATTCAACCTAAAATGCTTTTGAGATTTTATTGTAAATCGTACACTTGCAAAAGGTAAAACCGTAAAATCAGTACAAAATCAAATTTCATTATGTAAAAAATTATGGCTCGACCCAACTCAACTCTAACTCAAAATGTAAGAATCCTCTTGGTTATTGCCGAGTACAATTCGTAGCAATTAAAGTATCCATCTAAATTCATAAATTAATTTTAGCCATGGTGGGTTGTTTTCAACTAGACACATTGTGTACTGCGCATGACAAAATATTTTCCTACGTGAATAAGTAGCATTTGACTTAACAAATGATCTACAACGGTAGTTGGAGAATAATATAGCCTACAATTTAATTAATAAAATCGCGAAGCCGAAAATTGAGCCCTTTTCACTATTTTAATGGCACGAGTAATTAGTTCTTATAATTTGATATTTTACATTGATGAAAATGAGAGTGTTCTTTCTTTCTCGTTTCCTTTTTTTGATTTTTGGAGAAAGCAAGTTGAAAGGGTCATTCGAGAGAGCCTACAAAATTAAGTAAACTATTTTTTCTTGGTTTAATAGAAATTCTATGGAACTCAAACGGTTGTTGGCGCACGTTAAGGACTTTTTTTACAATTTCTTTACGGTTACGCTTATCAAAATGAAAATTATTAGAATATTCACTTGGGCTTTTTTATTAAATACTATATCTTTTCTTGTTTTGGTATGCTTCATCTGTGTAGGACCGCACTCGTTTTCCTCCCGATTCTTACATGTTATCAGAACGGTTCTATTGGGAACCGTGCGATGACATACTCGTTTACCCAATCCGTTTCTAGTAGGGTTTGGGCACTCGGTTCCGTATATGAGCTTGGGATTCTTATGAAGGACTCACAAGACGTGTTAGAATATTCACTTGTGAGTTGTCTCATATCGTTAATATAGGGAAAATAAGCCTAATTTATAAATTTAATGAGCTACTCCTCCTTCTATCAATTGGTTTTAGGATGGAACCGCACTTGGGCTTTATCTGAACTTTTTTTGTACTTTTGGTGCGCTTCATCTGCGTAGGACCGCACCCGTTTTCGCCCGTTTCTTACAATTATTGCAGTTAATTTAGGACTTTGTCAATCATCTTTTTCCCCAACTGGACATATTAACAACCTCACCACTCGAGTGAGGTCAAAATATAAATAAAAAATATATATGTAAAACTATACTTATTTGATAAATATAAATCTTACAAGGAATTCTTGTGGGATCTATCCCAACAAATAAATAAGTAGGGTGGTCATAAATTTTTTAAAAAAAATGTATATTTATATGCATGTTATAAATTTATTTATATTACTTTTAAAGAAAATCGTTTATATACAAGCATGTATATTTATTTAAACAAAAAATAACTACTGAACCTTAATTTGGTTTTAAGAGCATAGTCTTCTCGAAAATCTGTCTTATTTATATTATTTAACAATTGCCATAAATTGAAAATGTTAGGTGAGAGTTGAGGAAAGGCCATAGAGCTTTTTGCCATTTGCCTCTTAATTTCCAAAGAAGATAAAAGAGAGCTAAAAGCCACGCGTCACATATGATCTTCCTTTGTGTAGAGCTTTTCTAAGAAGAAGCCACTTTGTCTTCCTTCCACTCATTAATTAATGTGGTTTAATATGAATAGATTATCATAATACATCATAATCAACTCTTCTTACCCAACACCAAGATTTGACTCCATCAAATTAAACAAGTGGCTATATATATATATATATATATATATAAGAATTAATTTATAACATACCACATTGAGTTAATTTTCTTGCCGGTAATTATGCTTAAGTCTATCTGATTTTAGGTTATGGTCGCTCATATTGACTATGAGATTTGGCAAGTTGGATGTCAAGATAGTTTCCTAAATAGAAGTCGTGGAAAAATGTATATGAGGCAGCACCTAGAGTGGTTAATTGCAAAGGACTACATCTAGTTTGTAAAATTAAGCAGTCCTTTTATGGACTAAAGTAAGTTCTTGGCATTTGGTACATTTTGGTTGATGAGGTAAATCCAGTTTATGGATTTAGTCGTGTGACCAAATGAACATAGTGTGTATATATAGTGACATAAGTGTGGTGGCATTTTTCGTATTATATGTAGACAACATTATGCTCGCTGGAAACAATGTAAAGATGTAGTCAAATGTAAGGTAAGATCATCCAAACAGTTAGATATGAAGGACTTGAGAGAGTCGGCACATACTCTTTAGGTCTAAGATCACAAGAAATAAATATGGCGTTTATCCCAAGTTTCGTGTCTAGATACTGTCATAAGCCTCATTTTTTAGCATGTATAACTCCAAGAAGGTTTTTCAACCCTTCCGGCATGGAGTTCCTCTGTCGAATACATCGCACTCGAACTTCTGCTCGTATAATAAATGAGCAAATTTGGCTCGGTATTGTTTAATAAATTGAGTGAAATCAATTAAGTTCTGCTTGTTTGAATTTATTTTTTTTATCTTTATTATATGATTGAGTCGAGGTTGATTTTTTACGAGTCGAACTGAGTTGCACTCCCTAACAAATCGGTTCTATAAGCCCCAGGTTAGAAAATATTCTGGTTAAGCCTCCATCTCTAAGTTCAACCTCACCGGCGTGATGTTCACCATCGCCTTCAATTTCTCCTCACCACACGCCACCCGAACAACAAGATCGACTTACTACAATCATATCTCCGTTGGGCTATACTCCGGAAATGAAGACATCAGCGACGAAGCATTTCCTGGCTTCAGACACGGCAGTAAAAACTCAACGACATTGAGGACGTTGATTTTGAGCTCGAACGTTTCGATTCCTGCCGACACCGACGTGTCGCAGCTGAGATCGAGCTTGAGGAGCGACAATCTGCCAGTGAAGATAGAGCTAGACACAAATGTGAAGGTGCGAGTCGGCAAAACCGATTCAGAGAAACTTGGGATTACAGTCACTTGCGATGGAATCACTGAAGTCTATATCTTCATTTTGTTTCTTATTTTGTATTTGTTTAAATATACTAAATTCTTAAAATATCTTAAAAAATCAGCTTTGTTTTTAGTCAAATCGAGCTTAAACTTGATATTGGACAATTTAACAAACTTGCATAGTTCATGCAGTAATTTAGGGAAACCACTGCAGTCCCGTCACGGAATAGTTCCGTGAAGGACATTAGCCACTAAAATCTCTCACAAACTATTCCGTGACGGGACTGCACTCTTTTTCGTAATTTAGATAAAAATAAAAATAAATTTATATGGTGTAGCGCGAAAATTACAATAATTTAGATGGCAAAAAAAAATGATTTTTCCCTTCTAACTATTAGCACTTTCTTGGTTTCTAATTATTTCTAGAACGTCCACGTCACTTTTCCTATGACCACTCCACTGTTTTTCTTTCTTCCCCATTTGCCCTCTCCCTCTATTTAAATTCTCCCCCCACAACACGCTTCAATGGAAAAATCAACACACGAAAATAAAATATAGAGAGAGAGAGAAAAAAAAAATGAGTTAGTTTCCCCCAAAAGAGAGAGAGAGAGAGAGAGAGAGATTATTACTATTATTATGATCTGTTATTACTATGGGCAGAGATAATCAGCCAATCGCAAGATGATAAACAAACCAATGGAAGTCGCTAAGCTCCCAAAACACGTTATCGCCCATTCTCGCGTTTTCATCTTCGGATTCTACTGTTGGGGCTGGGAATTCCTCACCGCGCTTTTGCTCTTTAGTTGCTGATAAAAATATAATATATAATATTTATACTATATATATATATATATATATCTTCGATTTTTAATTATTTTTTCTGGAAATTAATTACGATATATCGTGAAAGAAAAAAAGTAGATATTTCAAGTTTAAAAGGAAAATTATATATTTTCGAATTTTTCGTACTTGAATCGGGCCGGGCTTTTGGGTGGGGCAAAATGGCACAGAGGTCGGTGCCGGCGCCGTTCCTTACGAAGACTTATAATCTGGTTGACGATCGGGAAAGCGACGACGTCGTATCGTGGAACGACGGCGGCACGGCTTTTGTTGTCTGGAAAACAGCGGAGTTTGCGAAGGATTTGCTGCCCAATTATTTCAAGCACAACAATTTCTCAAGCTTTGTTCGCCAGCTTAATACCTATGTAAGTCTTCTCTTTTCTTTCTCCCTCTCTACCTTTCTTTATTTTCTATTATTATTATTATTATTATTATTATTATTATTATTATTAAAAAACAAAAAATAATATAAATCGGTGTTTTTGATGTGGTTAGCTTTTAAAAGAAGCCTTACTCATTTTGAAGTATAATAATCAGTGAACATTTTTAGTGGCCATATTAAGCATGCAAAAATTGGAGTCTTATCATTGTCCTGCCCCCCATTTCTCTATAAGTTAAGTTTATTTCATTAATTATAATAGCTTTGACAATTTTATTTTATTTTTTTTAAATAAATAATTCTTTTTTATTGAATTTAGATTTACAGATAATATACTTTCTTTTTATGATGTTCATATAAAAATTTGTGATTAAGGCTATGTTTGGTAGACAAATAAGCTAGCTTATAGTTTATTTTGTTAGCTTATAAGCTCCCTATATTCAAATAAGTCTCGTTTGGTAGGACGAACTTTTTTAAAAAGTTCGAGCTTATTTGATAAGCTTCCTTAGGTAGTTTTTCAAACAAGCTGGTTGAATTTTTTATTCTAGCTAGCTTATCAGCTAAATTTACCAACAAATACTTTTATCATATAAGCTAGTTTATCAGTTATAAGTCATAAGTTATAAGCTATAAGCTAAAAAATTATTGATAAACGATAAGCTAGCTTATCAGCTATCTACTATCAGCTAATTTTACCAAATATAATCTTATAGCTAGTCTATGTTTGGTAGGATAATAAGCTAGTTTATAGCTTATTGGGTTAGCATGCATATAAACTCTCTGTATTCAAATAAGTCTCATTTGGTAGGACGAGTTTTTCTAAAAATATCGAACTTATTTGATAAGCTTCCTTAGGACTTTCAAATAAGCTTGTTGAATTTTTTATTTCAACTAGTTTGTCAGCTAATTTTATCAAACGCTTTTATCATATAAGTTCTCTTTTCGTCTATAAGGAGTCACAAGTGAGGGGGTGTGTTATAATATCACTTGTGAGTTGTCCACCAATTGGTTTTGAGATGAAACCTTATTTGGGCTTCATTTGAGCTTTCCCCGCTTTGGTGCGCTTCATGTTAGTGGGACCGCACCCGTTTTTCAACCTAGTTTCTTACATGGTTCAGAGCCGGTTCTATTGGGACCGTGTGATGACGTACCCGTTTATGGGAGTCTGTTTCCCCACGTACCCGTTTATGGGAGTCTACTTCTAGTAGGCTTGGGGCACCCAATTGGGCTTGGGTTTCCGGAAGACTCATAAGTGAAGGTAGAATATCACTTGTCAGTTGTTCACCAATTGGTTTTAGGATGAAACCCCATTTAGGCTTCATATGGACTTTTTTCGCTTTGGTGCGCTTCATGTTAGTGGAACCATACCCGTTTTTCCCCCGTTTCTTACAAGCTTAACAGTTAATTTTGCCTAACACAGCCTTAAACTAAGGTGTCCAAATAAAATAAGAAGAAGATGATGTGGGGAGGAAAATGGAGCCGCCAACAGCGGATATATACGTAACTAGCCGAATTTCCATCTTCTTCTAGTTTTCTCGGTAAAAGTTAAATTCGTTTTATTTTATGGCTCAATTTTCATGCAATTCACACTTACCAAACAAACAAGGTACTACTGTTTAAGGATTTGGATGTAAAAGTTTTCCCTAACGTTGAAAGTTGAAACTCTAAGCAATATACTACGTTTTTAGGTACGATTTCACTCTCTCTCACATGTGATAATTCCCTATAAAATATACTAGTACAACACTCGTGTATTATACGAGTGCTTGCTAATTTTTTTCTTAAAATCTAAATTTAATGAGAAAAAGTAGTTGAAAATAATTTAAATACATTTTACAAAAATATATATTATTATATATTTAGTATTTTTTATTTGTGCGACTTACCTTTGTTATATTATAATAATTTTTACCTTACAACATATAACTGCATTAAAAATAAATATATCAATTGATAAATAATTTTATTTTTCAAATGAATTTTAATAAATATTATTATCTTTTATTATTATAAAGATAAATATAATTTATTTATTTCATATATACAATATGGATGTCAATCGAAGATCATCAAAAGATGATTAATTTGATATATAATATATGTAAAATCGATAAGAAACACAAAAGTTATCAACTTTTAAAATATATTAGTCGTTTATTGCCTCACTATGTAAAATTACAAATAACTAAAAGGTTATATTAGTACAAGTGATATTAAAATACCTAAATTAGATAAATAATATTTATGGAATGTCCAAATTTAGATTATTAATTATTAATATATTAATATTATTTGTCCAAACCTAATTACGAAGCATGATTCTTTGCCAAGTAAGATTCCGAAGTACCAGAAACATCTACGGAGGCTCAGCGCATTCGAGAATTATATATAGGGAGGATGTATGATGCATCCAAGCTTTTAAAAGAAGAAAAAAAAAAAAAAAAAGAAAGAAAAAAAAGTACTTTGTTTTTAGTCAATACTCAATAGTCGAACTTTTGGTTTATGTAGACTTTTGTAAAGTTGGCTTCTTTTTTAGAACAGTCACATTATGATATCTCGTGCTATTATTATGCCTAAGTCTGTCCAAATTAGAAGAATTTTCTACCTTTCCTTGTAATAGAAACTCGTTTACACTCACAAAAAAAAGAAAAAAAAAATAAAAAATAAAGAAGACATAGTTAATAGGATAATTAAAATTCATGAATTATTTTAGGTTTGCAATCATTTTATGAAGATTTAGGGTTTGTGCAGGAAAATGTAGAGAGAGAAAGTGAAGGGATGCGATAATTTCTATTGAAGAAAAATAATGAATTGTTATTGTTTACAACCTGTTGGAGTACTATATATATACTAAGCGTAATAACTAGAGTTGTCATTTGAGAGTTTGACAACTTTACAAGAAATAAACTAAAAGTGTAAAATAATGACAAAGTATAATATTTTCACCCCCTCCTCCCGCAAGCTAAACATGAATGTTATTGATGTGTAGCTTGGATTTTAGGTGATTGAAAGCTGGTCCTTGTAATCCTTTGGTGAGGATGTCAGCTGGTTGGTTTATGTTGATGATGTAATTATTTGTGGTGATAATCTGTCTGCCATTCAAGCTGTTAAACATCATCTTCATTCATGCTTTACTATTAAGGATCTGGGAAAACTCAAATACATCTTAGGGCTGGAATTTGCTCATTCAACTAATGGAATTAACATGTGTCAAAGGAAGTATGCACTTGACATACTTCAAGACACTGGTTTCCTAGGTTGTAAACCAGCCCTAACACCCATGGACCAGTCTACATAAATATTTAACACATTATAATATAACTTATAGCTTTCCTTGACATATGATATTTAACACATTATAATATTTTCACATTTTCAATTTGCTAATATCAGTGTTCTAAAAGTTGGTAACGCTGGCTAGGTGCTCGACCTAGCCCGAGAGTAAAACTATTAATATATTTCTACTTATAATAAATTGACACACTTATGTTTATATAATAATATTAATATATTTTCAAGAAAACACGAGAACAAAAAATAAAAATAAATAAATAAAAAAAAAACTGAAAAATTGTCGATGGACTTGTCTAGGAGTGCCTGGGTCAGCCTATTCCCCCCTAGGCGCTGTCTAACTGCCTAGCCGCCGAGCCCGCCAAGTCGGCCTAGGAGCGTCTGGGCCTAGGCCGCCGAGCCCGCCAAGTCGGCCTAGGAGCGTCTGGACCGCCTAGGCCCACCTAAGCGCCGTCTGGCCGATTTTTTCTGTCGATTTTTTATGTCGGTTTGTCGATTTAATCAGTATATTTGAACTGAATATCCCTCGCATCCGTGTTTTTCCTTTTATTGTTTGTTTCTCATGTTTTGAATACAAGTCATTTATCACTAAAACCTTTTAAAAACATCAACTTTGGTTTCTTTTGTTGGTATTTGAATGTGTTAAATGTTTCACCAATATAATAAAATAGATAAAATTTGATATATTATATAAATTTTTGATGTAATATACGTATGTTAGGATCATCATGCCTTCTTAGCATTACATAGACTTTAAAAATCTATAATTATTAGATACAATATGTTAATTCATTAATTTAATGTTAAATAAGCATCATTATTCTTTTCACAAAGGCACAATTAAAACTTAAAAAAAAAAGTTGGCTGTATGTGCTTAATTAGGTGATGTGCCGTCTACCAATAATTAAAGTCGACAAAACGTCGCGTAAGTCTTCTTCTGGGTGCCAGCGCATGTATCTATCTCATGATCGATGCCTTGAATTAGAAGCATCATATCTGGAAAATTAAATTTATATAAAAATGGCTATTCGAATTCGATTCGTGTAGCAAAAGAAAGGCGTCCAAAAGTATTTTCGTGTTCACTGTAACACATTGATGGAGCATAAGAATGAACTAGTAATGTCATTTTTACATGATATATATAAGAGATTTAATTCTTATTTTTGTTTAAATAAAATTTAAAATGCTTCTTGTTTCTATTAATTTACGTTATTAATATATATATATTTTTTTTTCATATTGACATCATAATGTATTCGCATGCATTTGTACAATATAATTTGGTGGAAAACTTAGGTTAAAAAAAAAAACAATTTGATTGTGTTTAAATTATACTGCTTTGTCTTAAAGGTGAGCAATCAGATGGGTCAGGATGATCTTTGACCCACTTATTATTCCAACTGTATTTGAATTTTTACTTGTGAGTTGTTCCAAATAGTTTATGTATGGAAAATATGTCTAATTTATAAGTCTGATGAGCTACTCATCACATCACCAATTGATTTTAGGATGGAACCCCACTAAGGCCTATCTAAGCTCACCTTGCTTTGTGTGCTTCACGTCTGTGGGACCGTCGTTTCTTTAGGTATAAGAGTCAGTTATACGTGGGACCGTGCGATGACGTACCCGTCACCCAGCCCAGTTGAGTGTGGGCTCCTGGTTCTGTACATAGGTTTGAGCTTTCGTATGTAGGACTCCAAGTGAGGGCGCAACTCTCCCTTCCTCCAATTGGTTTTGAGAAATAGAACTTCACTTGGGCATCATCTAGGCTAATCTTACTTCGCTTCACGTGCATGGAACCGCTCTCATTTTGTCCTCGTTTCTTACATGGTATCATAGTCGGTTCTACGTGAGACCATTCAATGACGTACCCGCCACCCAATCCTGATGGGCTTGGGCTCCTGGCTCCCTATATGAGCTTGGGCTTTCGTATGAAGGACTACAAGTGAGAGGGCGTGTTAGAATATCACTTATGAGTTGTTCCACATTGTTGCTTCCACCAATTGGTTTTAGAATGTGACCTCTGGACTTCATTTAAGCTAACTCTTCTTTTGGTGTGCTTCACGTGCGTGAGACTGCACTTATTTTATGCTTAGAAGCCTAGATAATGTCTAATACATAATTGGAGTTGGAGTTTTCGTTTTCTTTTTCTTTTTTTATTTATTAAATATGATGCTCCAATTCATCATTAATTATTGAATTAACTGTATAAGCAATTACATGGAGTTATAGGTCTTTTATTGAAATTATGGTATATAATATAATAATATTACATAAAAAAAATGTGACACTGTACCATATATATTATCCATTAGTCTTATTTTTTTTCAGGGTTTTCGTAAAACCGTACCCGAAAAATGGGAATTCGCCAATGAGAACTTCAAGCGGGGGCAGAAGGATCTCCTTGTCCACATTCGCCGCCGGAAAAATATACCCGCAGTGGGTAAGACCGCGGCCGCAGCGGCAGCCGACAACCTCGCTTCGCCGGCAATCTCCGGCGAGGAACTGGGATCGAGCTCCACCTCGTCCCCCGATTCTGTCCCCAATTCAAAAAATCCTAACTCGGCCGAGACCCAAGCATCGGCTCAGCTAGCCGATTTGTCCGGCGAGAACGAGAAATTGAAAAAGGACAACCAGATCCTGAGTTCCGAACTCGCACAGACCAAGAGGCAGTGCGACGAGCTAATAGCTTTTCTGACCCGGCGCGTGAAGGTGGCGCCGGAGCAGATCCGCCGCATCATGAATCTCGAATCCGATGCGGCCTCCGCCGAGTCGGCCGCTGCCGGCATAATATCTAATTTCGGCGATGATGAAGAAAACGAGAGCTCTGTGAGGCTTTTCGGGGTGGTGGTGAAAAAGAAGAGGGGCTGTACTGAGAATAATGAATTTTCAGGGCCTCAAAACAAAGAAATGAAAATGAGTCTTGAGGTTCGCGTGCCGTGGATGAAGATGTCTACATCACCTGGGGAGGGCAGTAAGGTCTGTAACTGACCATTGTGGTCGTGCCACGTGTCACATGTGGAGTGGTTCGAATAAAAATGGTGTTTTCGAGTGGGTGAATGTTTATTTATACAGTTATGACTTTTCTACGATGTGGAAGATCAAAAAAAGCAAATGGGTTTTTTCCATCTCGAATTTAGAGTTTTATATTAATGGAAAGTAGTGTGGTATTCGTGTGATATATAAGCTAGTTATGCGTTAAGGTAAGAATTTAAATTTGGCTGATTGTATGAACATACAATGCATATATTGGAATAAAATAAAATGTGACTTATATATTATTAAATGCATTCTTGTATACAATATTATTTGTTTTGATCTTTTGGTACATCGTTTATGGTCACAATTATATTAGGATTTTAGATAGATTTAAATAAATCAATTAAATTATTTATACTGATTTTATGAAAAATGCATAGCAAAATATAACGGAGATTGTAAAATGTCTTTCTTGATAATTTATAATTTTATTATTTTAAAATTGTAAATTACTTAATTTAAGGAAGAAAAAAATTGTGTAAGTATTTGCAATCCATTTAAGTTTGTATTCTATAGCATTTTGCCTAATTTGAAATTCTCTATTTTAGGGTAAATGAATTTTTTTATAAGAAAATGTGAGAATTTTGAATTTTAAAAAATTGTCATGCCGAATTTTACCCAAATTTAACTGATGAAATCTGATTTTTTTAATAAACAGTTGATTTGTTGCAATTAAGAAATGATATACGTGATAGTATTTTGTTTAATTTGAAATCGCGATTCTATGGTAATCATTTTATATATATAAAAATAATAAAGAATTTTGACTTTTGCAAAATTGTATGCATCCGTCAAAATTTACCTAAATTAAATCCACAAACTCATGAATTTATGGTACATATATAGCTGATTGATTTCTTTAGAATAATTTAAAAAGAAAATTCAAAATCTGCCAAAAATATAATGCAATAAATGCTGGTTAACTTTTTCGTTATTATTTTTGGTAAATATGTTCTCTTTATATATATATATATATTCCAATTTGAAGGTTTTATATTAATGTAAATTTCAATTGGATTAAGTTCAATTACCTATTGGGCTATAAAGTCTTAAGGCCCATATAATTAGGTTTTACTTAGTTATAAATAGGTCATTATCTCATTTGTAGTCTTATGATCGTAAGTGAAAACAAAAGATCGATGTCTTGAGAAAAGATCACAAATCAAATCTTAGATATTGGGAGATCAAGATCGAAAGACACACACTCTCCGAATTTCTGATTGGGGGCAGAGACGAATAACTGTAAGTTTTCATTGATCATTCACGCGAGCTATGGTCATACTACAATCTTTCTCTCCTGGCTAAGACGGGTTGGAATTTACGTGCTCACAGCCCCTGTCGAAAGACTTGCTTTCAGTTAACTAACCGGTCCTGAAAGCCAAGATAACATTTCGAATTCCTTTAATAGCCAAATTTTGAGCCGTTTTGTTGCACTGATATAACTATCTGATTTAATTCATCAACCCAACCGACAATAATAAAAAAAATAGATAAGTAGGGCGAATGAATCGCATTAGTGCGACTAGTTGAATCCCTTTTCTTGCTTGAAGAGAGTTTAGCTATAGCCAGATATTCGTTGTTGGTAAGAAAATTTTTAAAATTTCGTTGCGCGTGCACTAAATTCGTACGTCTAAAATCTAACATATTCCGCTGGCGGACTTCAACAACCTTCATGTCAGCTTGACCGAGGTACGACTGGAGCACTATTTTCGCCCCCTTAGAGCTCAGTGGGAGACTTATCCGACGACAGTGGGGTCGTTGGTGGAGGCGACAAAGTGCAGGTCCCACATGGGAATGGAGATCGCGACCTCCGTGTTGTTGCAGCTATGCGTGGGATGCACAAAGTATTGTAGGAGCGTGCTGCATGAGGGGGCCGTGCCACCGCTGGTCGGCCTGTCTCAGTCGGGCACCCCTCGAGCTAAGGAGAAGGCTTCGGAGGAAACGTCGTCTTCTGTGTTCCAGCTCCAGCCGAGGGGGTTCTGCCAGATTGCGGGAGTTCGTATTCGTGCGCCTTTAATTCTTCATCCCGAGGGATATGGTCGATAGGTTATGTGCAACGTTGACCTTTTTCGGTTGTGTGCTTTTTGGGAGGCTCCTCATTGGCTCTTGGTTTCGAGCCCTCCGGTGTTTTCTTGGTGACCCCTCCTCTTTCCTCGACGCTGAAGTCTTTCGGAGCCAAATCTAGACCGAGAACGACTTTCTCGCTAGATCTGTCTAGGCGGCTCATCCGCAATTTTGGGTCTGGTTCTAAATTTTTATTTCTGTTGTGACTTTAGTTGCGGTCTGGGTCTCGTGTGTCGATTTGGGTGATCTTTTTGGCTCGTCTATTACTTTTAGAAGATGTTTTACTCTATTTGTTTATCATGCGTGTGTTCTTCTTTTGTTTTTTTGGATTTGTGTTTTGAGTAGGGTTGTAAACAAATCAAACCATTTTGATTCGATTCGTGATTCGATTCGTTAATTCGTGATTCGAATTCGAAATATTCGAATTCGAATTCGAATTCGAATGATGTTTTAGATTCGAAATTATAACGAATTCGAATTCGAATGTGTAGATATTCGATTCGAAATTCGATTCGTTAACAATAATATATAAATTTTACAAATTATATATAATATACATTTTGTTTATAATATAGTATATATATATATATATACATTGTTATATTTCTAATATTTTTATGACATAAAAAGTAAAAAATCATAAATTAACAAATTTTTCTAAAATATATGAAAAATAAAATTTATTTTTGTAATTATAATATTTTTTTTACAAATTATATATAATATACATTTTGTTTATAATATATGTATATATATATATATATATATATTGTTATATTCCTAATATTTTTATGACATAAAAAGTAAAAACATCATAAATTAACTAAATTTTCTAAAAATATATGAAAAATAAAATTTATTTTTGTAATTATAATATTTTTTAATTATAATATTTTTTGAAAACGAATTTCGAATCGAATCGAATATGTTCGAATATTCTAAACGAATCGAATACGAATCAAAAAATGAATTCGTTATCGAATCGAATCACGAATCGAATCTTCAAATATTTTAAACGAATCGAATTGAATCTCTAAATATTCGCTTTGATTCGATTCGTTTACAACCCTAGTTTTGAGGCGAGTGTCGTCTGACGTCTACGTCTAGTCTCCTTAATGGAGTTTATTTTGTGGTTTTTTGTTTTCTCCTTGACCGAGTTTGTGCCACCTTGAACATATGTGTCGTGTTAGATGACACTTCATTCTACTTTATTGAATTTCATGTTATTAATATATTTGCTGCTAAAAAAATTAAATAATAATAATAATAATAAAAAAAAAAAATCATTTGAGTTTGAGTTTGAGAATGAATTTTTAAGGTGGATTTTATTTCCCGTTGTCGGTGTTCAACCCCTCAAAATATCTCGCGGATTAAGCCACAAATTGGGGAAAAGATGAAAACCTCCTAGCCCGCCAATGGCGTCAATCTCCGCCGGTTTCTGGCGCTCCACTTTCAATTTATCGCGGCATTTTCCTTCCTCTCTGATTTCTTCTCGACCCTCGTTCTCGCGAGCTCGATTTTCTCGCTCGTCCGCCGCCATGGATTCCGGCGACGATCTCAGATCGAAGTTTATGGAGTTCCCGTACGTCTCTGGCTCCCACAGGGCCCTTATGGTGGACATATTATCCACTGTAGAAACCCGCCTTGGATCCTCGCTCGAGAGTTGTACTCTGCCTCCCGACGTACAACAGTTCGAAAACTCCACCGGCTCTGCCCGTGGGTCGCTCCATCTCAGATCCGGTCTCCCTTCTTCTCAGGTGCTCTCTTCTGTTTGTTCGTTCCCTTTTTTTATTGATTTTTTTTTTTTTTGGTTAATTGTGTTTTGTTAATTTTCTAGCTCTCGCTTAATTGCAATCAAGTTTAAGGGTTCAAATCAACTAGACCCAAAGTGTAAAGGTATTCAAACACAACAGCACAAACAGAAATTAGGAAATAGGCTTTTTGAGAGTGTTTTAAGGTGACTTTGATGTGGTTACTTCAATATTTTTTCTGTCCAGTAAGTTGTTGGTACTTGGTATTGTGATTAATGTGGTTTTGGTTTGATTCAAAAAGTCTCAAAATGTCACTCGAAATCTCGAACGTATACACTAATATCATCACCAATCATATACACGTTGTTCAGATAGATTTTGTACTGGGAGGTTGGATCCACTGTGAGCTCCCGTCTGGCGAGGCCCTCAACATCACAACCCTCTCGGCATACCTAAAACCCTCGACCGACGCTCCGCATTTCCTCCTCGACCTCATCCAGATCGGGCCCACGTCCCTTGTCCTTATCCTGGACCTGACCCCACGCAAGGACCTCATCCTCTACCCGGACTACCTCAAGAAATACTACGAGGACACGAACCTAGACAGGCACAGAGTCCACATCCACGGCCTGCCCGAGGCAAAGCCATACCATTCGCCCTCACTCTACGTGCGGGCAGTCCTTTCCCCGACTGCGATTTTGGTATCGGTTGGTGCAGAAAGGAGTGTCGAGGATGTGATAAGGGACCACGTGTGGCCCGTTGCTCGTGAGGTGTTGGATTTTTGGATTGGGTCGTGCTTGTGTGCGGTGGGGAACGTGGGGGCAAAGGAGAGGGACTATTTGGCGAGGAGGGATGGGATTATTAAAAGGACGACGGTCGAGGTGGATCTTGGGTCGAGCTTTCCGAGGTTGTTCGGGCAAGAAGTGGCAGATAGGGTTTTGGGTGTTTTGAGTGGATATTATGGTAAATGAGAATGAATGTTTGGTGGTTATGTGCAGTTGCTTCTTGCTGGGATGTGCAGTTGGTTTAGATTGTGGGTATAATTGTGAGAAGTTCTATGGGGTTTGTTGTGTTGTGTAGTTTCCAAGTGTGTAGACATGAAATGGTAACTTTTGTGTGTGGATGTTGGGAGGATTCGATGCCTCCCCACATGCTTTTTCACCTTTGATTTACACATAATCACACGCACCCACATGGGTGTGTGTGAAATGAAAGGTGAAAAACTTATGTATTTGCATATGTTGATATCACCAAAAGTTGGCACCTTTCTTTTCTTCTCGAGGTGGAAAACATAAGATAAACACATGTATTTGCATTTGTGGAAAACAAAAGAAAACAAAAGAAATAAATACATTAATTTTTATTTGATTATAACTCGAACCCAAAAATGTTTCTAAATGATTTGTTTTTTACTCGTCAAATATAACATGGGCTTTTGTATGTTGTATGCCCATGTAAGAAAAAAGAACCTATATGCATAAAACTAATTATAGTGCACCAAAACTAGTTAGGTCTTCTTGATCACAAGAGATTGATAGACAAAAACTGTTAAAAAAAGGTGGAACAACTTTTTTATCCTCTTAAGTTAGTGGAAATAAATTAATTATGATTTATTTGATGCGGTTTTGCTATGAAGTCATCGGATGGCTCGGGTTATGGAGTCATCCATTGTTATTCACAAATTATATATTGACGCGTGTCCTGCAATAAATGCACATTAAATATGTGTCAGTACATAAAGTTATAAATGACTTTATAAGAGAGGTATTCGATGACTATAAAATTCTGCTTATCGACGTCATGGATGAATATTGTGTCGCATAGAAAGGATGACCACGCAAGAAGATTGTCCTTTTTTTTTGTGTGTGTGTGGCAAATAGCACTTAATTTTTTTACTTCTCTATATTCTTTCATTATTCATTTCAAAATAATATTTACATTGTGTTTGTACTTTAATATTAATTCTTCGATGATCATAATCCAATCAACATAGGCTCTATTTATTGTATTATTACTTTGCCTTAAGGTGTCGGAGACTAATAAAAACCATTGACACTTTTTGGGATTTTAATAATTAATTGTAATGGAGCAAAAGGTAATATCTTTATTTGCTTGTTTTAGTTGCTTTTCTAAAGTTGAGTTATGTTTGCAATTAACATAATGACGTACAACAGACTTGTCATGTTCTTTTAAATTGTCAGCCAAGATAACAAAAAAAAAAAAAAAAAAAAAAAAAAAAAAAAAAAAAATCCTTGATTAACTTTGGTTTGGCCTTGGCAATAAATTCATGATCGTGTATTCACATGTTATATATATACGTTTGCACAAATTCTCGTTACAACAGCTTAACTATTAGGCGGGTAGACTTGTCATACTAGTATGATAAAAGCACATAACGATATACTATTATTTATGTTATTTATTTAGAGCATGATATTTCAATTTGAAAATATACATATCATCGAGAGAAGTATGTTTGTCTAACAGTTCGGTCGACCTATTAATCTTACTGTTATTTCAAACAATAATGCTAAGGAGCTAATTGTTGGCTCCTTTACGGAGCCAACAGCCAATGGGACAGCTCCATATGGACTGTCCCACATGGCTCCAATGTGGGACAACCTCACATGGAGCTGTCCCATTGGTTGTTGGCTCCGTAACGGAATCAACAGTTGACTCCTTAGCATTACTGTCAAAAAATATAATATATTTCAGTTGTTACTCATTTGTAATTCAATATACAGATAAAAATAAAAATAAAACTTAACAATATACTACTAAAAATATAAATAAAATACCTTAAACCAAATATAAATAACTAAAATATTCCAATCTTATTCCCCAACTGTGTAATAATGGCCAACTCATGGCGCGCTTGCTCTCGCGACAAGGCCCATCATCCATGCCAGAAATTCGACCTCACGCAAACCCACTCCTAACCCGCCATTTTCTCTCTGTATTGCCATTTTGCCGTAAAAGACGAGACTTGAAGGCCTTAAACTCCCTCCTCATAGTTCATGGATTGATCAGGCACGGAAGCGCAGTTAAAAGCTTCATCAACCACTGCTGTCATCTGGGTTTTCCAGATTTAGCTCTCCTCACTTTCCAATCAATCGAAAAACCAAATCTTTACACTCAGAATTTGATCCTCAGGAGCTTGTCTGATAATGGGCTGTCTGAAGATGTGCTCTCTGTCTACGAAAAATGTCGGGTTTCTGGACTTGATTCGGACAATTATACGTACCCTTTCGTGATCAAGGCTTGTGCCTCTTTACGTGATGTCTGGTCTGGTAATATGGTGCATTGCGTTGTCTTGAAGAATGGGTTTGGAGAAAATCTGGTCGTTCAGACCGCGCTTTTGGACTTCTACTCGAAAATTAGGCAAATGGGGAATGCCCGCAAGGTGACCGACGAAATGACACGACCGGATTTAGTCGCTTGGAATGCGTTGATTTCGGGGTACTCTATAAATGGGCTTGATTATGAGGTGGTTAAGGTTTTTCGGGATATGCTTGTAGCGGGCTTGAAGCCTAATGCCAGCACGTTTGCGAGTGTGTTTCCCATGTGCTCTCGTGTTGGAGTTCACGGGTTTAGTGTTTGTCTTCATGGTTTGGCCTGTAAACTTGGGGTGAATGAGGATGAATCTTTGGTGCCCGCTTTGATTTCCGTTTACGCTAATTGTGGGGATTTGTTGGCAGCTAGAAGGATTTTTGATGCGTGGACTGGGGAAAATGTTGCCGTTTGGAATGCCGTAATATCTGCTTATGCGCGAAACCAAAAACCGGAAAATGCTTTTGCACTGTTCAAATCGATGCTAATGGATGAAGCAAAGCCGGATATGGTGACTTTTGTGTCTCTTTTCCCCTCGTTTGAGAATCTTGGTAGCATCTCATATGTGGAGTCCTTACATGCTTGTGTAGTGAAATATGGATTTGAGAGACAGGTCTCTGTTATCACGGCTCTTCTTTCGGTGTACGCCAAGCTCGGAAATATGAATTCGGCCGAGTTCCTTTTTCATGAAATATACGTGAAGAACACCTTAATTTGGAACTCAATGGTCTCAGCATACGCTGGTCATGGCCTTTGGCAGCAGAGCCTGAATGCATTTTGTCTCATGCAAAAGGATGGCTTTAATCCGGATCAAATCTCGGTTATTAGTCTCCTTTCTTCATGTTCAGGATTGAAAGCCAATCTGCTGGGAAAGTCCGCGCATGGTTTTAGTATCAAAAGAAAGTTCGATTTGAATCTCAATGTGATAAACGTGTTGTTGTCATTTTACTGCGAATGCCGTGAGTTGGCCTATTCTTTCAGAATATTTGATAGAATGGATTTTAAAAATATTATTTCATGGAATACGGTGATCTCCGGATGTGTGGATAATGATGAATTGGACCGGGCAATGGTTTTGTTCCATGAGATGAGGCAAAAAGGTGTTGACTCCGACTCTGTTACCCTGATAAGTATCCTTCCATCTTGCCATGAGTGTGAAAATCCATTTCTTGGATCGTCTATTCATTGCTTTTCTGTCAAAACTGCTCTTTCTTCTGATATATCTGTAGCTAATGCCCTCGTTAGCATGTACGTAAATTGTGGAGAGATTGATGCAGCAAGGCTACTATTTGATGACATTCCTGAAAAGTGTGTGATTTCTTGGAATGCAATTTTAACCGGCTACCGTCAGCATAACCTGCAGAAGGAGACAATTGATCTGTTCAGTGACATGATAAGAGATAACCAAAAGCCAAATTACGTAACTTTACTGAATGTTTTACCCGAATGTGACACCCTTCGTGAAGGTAAATCCGTGCATGCGTATATCATTAAGAATGTGATCCCACTTGAAACTCCTCTTCTCACGTCACTCATCGTCATGTATGCGAGATACGAAATTTTGGGGTCGTGCCTGAAATTATTCCACGTTGGGGATAAGACGAGTAATTCCCTGTGGAATACAGTTATATCTGCTCATCTACTTTCGAAAAATGGTACCATGGCATTTGCTTACTTCATTGAGATGATCCGAAATAAAGTCGAGCCAGATTTTATCACTGCACTCAACCTCATTTCAGCCTGCGTCCAAATCAATAGCTCGCGTATGGCAAAGGCCGTATCGGCCTTTCTTGTGAAAAATGGATTTGAGAAAGACGTGGCTGTTAGCAATGCTCTGATCGATATGTATGCAAAATGTGGTGACATTTTCACCGCACGAATGCTATTTGACAAATTGCCTCGGAGGGACACCATTTCTTGGAGTGTGATGATAAACGGGTACGGATTGCATGGGGATGGAGCATCTGCTTTGTCTTTGTACTCGCAAATGAGGTCTCTCGGTTTGAAACCAGATAAAGTTACCTACACGAGTATTTTATCGGCTTGTAGTCGTGCGGGTTATGTCGAACAAGGAAAAATGGTTTTCGAGACTATGTTAAGCGAAAATTTTGTGTTGGGGGTCGAGCACTATGCATGCATTGTCGATCTTCTGAGTCGAACGGGACACTTGAATGAGGCGTATGAAATTGTGAAGAATTTGCCTGATAGGCATTCGGCTAACCTCGTTGGGTCGTTAATGGGTGCTTGCTTGAGTCACGGGGATTATGGGCTCGGAGAGGAAATAGGTAGGTCCTTTTTTTTGGATACGAGCCCGAGAAATTGTGGGCCGTATGTCGTTCTACACAACATATATGCAGCAGGAGGGAAATGGGTTGATGCAAAGAATGTCAGGGTGGCCATGGAACAAAATCAGTGTAAAAAGGATCCTGGGATTAGTCTTGTAGATGAGAAATATGAACATATATAATTGACATCAAATGTAAGTTACAAGGACTATTAATTTGTATGTTCCAAGCGCTATTAAGTCGTGCTGCTAATGGAGAAAATGAACAGTACATTTATCAAATACAAAATTCTGGTGTTAAACAGCCTGCCTAATTGTTAGACATGTCAACCCGACATACTTTTTCAAATTGCTATATATATTACCAAACGTTATACTCTTGTTTTATAAAGTACAACATTTTGTAACAAAAATATACTCGTTTATTTAAAAAAAAAAAAAGTGTCAGCTTAATGAGTATGTCCGTATGTATTGATATAATCTATATATATTAAAAGAGGTTGAGGGAAAAATTCTAACTTTTTAATTAAAAAATTTGACTGACTAATTAAAGAAATATTTCAAAAATAACTTTATTTTTATTTTTTTAAGATATTATAATCAAATTGTAACTTTTTTCTTCATATATTATTTAAATATGTAGCCATAAATTTCGAATTTTTCAAACATTTCCAATCTTCTTTTTCTTTTATTTTAAAAAAACAAAATGAGTAATCATTTGTTTCCATAATCTTTCTTTTTATTTTTGGAAAGAAAAAAGAATATATTAATTATTCCATTATTTTATATGTCAATTAGTAAAAGAAATGAATAAGACTAATCATTTCTTTCCATAATCTTTGTTCTTATCTAACTAATAAAAAAAATGTTTTAAATGAAGAATATTTCTAATTGTGTACTTTCAATATATGATTTTCTGTCTATCTTCCAAAATTTTAATTTGTAAGCATTTAATATATATATAATTATTAAAATAGAAAATTTATAAATTTATGTGCTTCAATTTTAGATCGGCGTCGTTCTAAAGACTTTATTTTATTTATAAATTGAATTTCATTTTAAAAGTTTACCAAATTTTCTAACATTAAAATTAAGTATGAAAAAAAAAGTTATGGTAATAACTTATTAATAAAAAAGAAGATAAAAAGATTATTTATGAGTATTATTAAATAATTACTTAATTTTTTTGTTAAACAATTTAAAACGGTATTTATTTAAAATGAATGAAGTGTGTATATAAATTATATTTTAAACCATTATATATCATGATTCATGACAATAAAAATAAAATCTATATATATATATATATATATATATATATAAAAGTTTTATTATTTTTTAAATAGTAACTATTTCTCGCCAAAAAAACGTTGTTTACTAATTCTGTAAACTATTTAAACACTTTATGGTATGTTTTAAAAATACAATTTATGTAATTGCGCTGATTTATTAAGGTAATAAATCACATAAAAAAATTTTGTATCTTAAGGTATTCATATCATATATATGTACATATATATTATATATTTGTACCTAAAATATCGAGATATATCACATTCCTAATAAACATTAGATTTACTTAAAAGTATTATGTTTTTATATTAGAAGTTAAATATATATGTTAAAATTTATAGTAATATAGATGGATTAACGGTCTAATACATTGTTATAACAAAATTTTGTAAAAATATTTTTTGTTACGAAATCCCCTGCATCGCACGAAATTCTCACTAGTATTAATAATAAAATTACAAAAAATAATCACTCAACGACCGTAATTTATTCTGATGCCCCGTGGATTATGTATATATAACACAAAACCAACCAATACCTAACACTTGCAAGCTTTGAAATTCTAGCTGAAACATTAATCCAAACAACTCATTTGCTATATAGAAAGAAAATGTTCAGGACAGTTACAGTACGAAGAAAAAAAAAAAAAACTGAACATACGAAGAAAACCATATAGAAGAAAATGTTTAGGACAGTTCAGTACGAATCGGCGGATGACAAAATTTGCAGCACTACGAAAGTAATAAATAATCCCATAGTCGAATGAATATGAATGCCACAATCCAAATACTCATCGACGGGATCCACAAAATCTAACCTAATAGCACCAACTTAACAATACCGTATGTCACGAACTATTACAATACGCAAACACATCAATCAAATCGACTCGTTAACGTAACAATTCCATCTGAAAGTCGAGCCAAACGCAAACAAAATCCTTCCAGCAACAAAAATCCATTTTTTTCTGGCATATAGTTCACAAGACACCAGCCAGCAACTAAAATACGCAAATCAAAAAGACCCCAAAGTACTGGAAGCTCCAAAATTCCAACGGTAACTACTCCAAAACCATCTGCTTATTGGCAAAGAAAATCATACAACCAACCGAACTTCAGTAATTCGCATCCACAATGTAATTCCCAGCTCAATCAGTGGGGCCCGCGCCACTGTTCTGTTTGGCCACGTAAATCTGTTTCACCTTTGAAGAATGAAAACCTTTATCCACACCACTCGACTGGTTACGTCCATAGTAGCCCACCCTCCGGTGAGAATATTCACTTCCCGAGCCCTGCCTGTGAGCCATTACACCTCCACTCCTTCGATAACCATACCTGCTTGTATTACTATTATTATTATTATAGTTATTACTCCCCTGTTGGGCAGATGATACATTTTTCTTAGGGAATTGAGCATTGAGAGCACTTGTGTTCTGGGGTTTGCTATTCTCGGTAGTATCGGTCTTGATAGATTCAGGATTTGAACTAACGGGCAAGGTCTGGACGACAGATGCAGGCAAGTCGAATCTTAGTTGGTCCGACACTCCGAGATGAGAAGGAAATGGGACCACGGTGGAGTCTGAGGAGACCTTGAAACTTGAGCTTTTGCTGTCAGACTGTGTTGGGGAAGGGGACTCGATGAATATGTTGGCGGCTTGTGATTGGTCCGTAGGATTTCCAGGATTGTTGACTTGAGGAGGCAATAGACCGTCTGTTTGGGATTGTGGTGGTCGAGAGACCGGGAAAATTGGCGAGGGAGGAATTTGGCCCCAGCGAGCTTGGACAGGCAAATCAGGAGCAGTCTGAAAGAATGGTAAATCAGGGTGACACAGTATTTCCAAAATCTGAAGACTTGCATCACAAGTACTTCAAGTAATAAAAAGATACAATAGCAATTTTATATCTAATTTGTCTCCAGTAAGCAAGTCAACAAGGCCACAAAGAAAAGCAAACTCGATAAAATAAAGCATGTACCACATTTGTTGCGAGCATCACATGCAGAGGGATGGAAAAGTGACAGAGGAATTAGAAAAATTAGCCCCCTTGACATTAAGCAAATAGCACAAAAGAATCGACATTGCTTTCAGAAATACGAACATCCCATTCAAAAGTTTGCATTTTGTAACAAGACAACCCCCCACCCCCCAAAAAAACGCACATACAAACATCAACGGGATATTTTAATCCTGATTGAGTAAGAATTTCGTTATATGAAGTTAACAGAAAAAATCTCAAGGGCATTTTGCGCAATTAACCCAAATATCTAACCAAGAAACTTTCTTTACCTGAAATGGAGATACATCAAACATGTGCATCGGGGGACGCATTGGCAATAGCGGGGACCCCGGGGCAAGATGCTGAATAGGCGGTGTCATATTGGGCCCACCCCTCTGCGCATTACTCACATTCACATTATTAATGTCACCCTCACCACCACTGTGTCCAGCAGAGGATGCCGACACATTATTTTTCCAATCACCTTGCTTTCCTGAAGGTATATATGTTGCACCCATAAAACTCAAGCCCACCTGACCATACTGTCCAAGAGGAGCAAAATGATTATATACGACCATATGCGGAGTCGGGCCTGGAACACCCGGAATGCCTCCATGTGGGCCGATGAATGGGCCTGGGTATCCAGCTGGTGCCCCGTAAAACGATTCCACACCGGAATGCCAGTTGCCGAGGGGAAGTCCCGAGGCTGGCGCCACACTCTTTGGTGGCTGTGATCGATTACCAGAGGACTCTTCGTGCGGGCTGAAAGCGAAAATTGGTCCCCCAAGTAAGGGGTTCATCTCGTAAAAGGGAAAGTGGGAGGGTGGGCCTGTGGGGAAATGAGAGAGCATTTGACCAGAGGAGCTCTGAGGGCTTGGCAATGGCGGCCACAAGGATATCGGTGTGGTCTCCACGGATAGATCGGCAGGGAGAGAAACACTCAATGAATCCTCACTTTGCGATTGGATTGTTACTTGCTTATCACCAACTACACCTATAAGAAAAACTGAGCCATCTAAATGCAATGATGGGGTGAACTACAAAAACTAACCATACAGCTTATGCTTAACTAAAAAAATCAAACAGAATATAAATGCTTAAGAAAATTTCCAAACAACTCGTGTATTAAACTTTTCCCTGTTCAAAGCAAAAACATTTCAGACATATGACATTTATCCCCTTACAAAATTAAGAACAAAATCAAGAAACTATTCACGGTTTTTAGTAATTTCAGCAATTTTTATTATAATTATTATTATTTATTTATATATTTTTAGTAAACCCAAATGAAGAATAGTTTTTGGTAAAAAAATTATCCTAAGGACACAACAGCCCATATCCTCTCTCTCTAAAAGTTAGATTGCACCTCAGTGCTACCTGTTGTAATGCCATTAACACAAGCAGTCAAACTTTTGGCGTCACTGCCATTCCCGGGTATCTCATCACTGCTTATGGCAGCAACAGCAACAGCAGAAGCAGCTGCTTCTGCTTCAGCCTCGCAATCTTGCACAGAGTCGGAGAGGGGCTCCTCTTTTGAAAAGAAAAGAGAATCGTCTTTCTGGGTTATGGGAAAACTGCGGGACTTCTGCGTGTCCGGTCGGTTGGAACCTGGAGCACCAATTACATGTGATGCAACATGGGTGGTAGAGGGGAGGACTGTTGGAGACGTAACAGCACCTGATGACACAGTAAGAGAAAAATGAGAATTTTGAGGGTAGAATATATTTACATAACAGATAATGAGCTTATATTTGATCAAATATACCAAATTGAATTTTCTCTCCAGCAAGTAGGGAACTGATTGGGCTAGAACCAGAAGAAAAGGCTTTTTCCTTCGTCAAACTGGATGATGTAGGCAGGATTGGATCAGTAGCTGTGCCGGAATGACCCCCAACAGTAGATACATGTGGATCATACTGAGCAGGTTTCATGACCTCATCAATTTGTGACTGGCTCAAAGACATAACCTAGCAGCAACATAACATTTATTAACACAGTTCCTACAGATAGTTACATATAAGGAATACCATTTTTATGATCCTTCCAAAAAAGAATCATCAGACTCCTCTCAGAGCTCTCCACATTTTGGAAGTAGAAAATTCGGATGCATAAAGGATATATCATATTTGACAACATGCATTAACTGCACTTGGACCATAGGTAAAGGGACGCTGTATGGGAGAGAGGCGAAGTAGCGGACAGAAAATTCATGTAATCAGCCCTTCACTAAATCGTGATAGCACATGAAAACATCTGGCAGTAAAAGTTAAAAACAAAATGGAAAAACAGATATGCATACCGGTTGATTATTCTGTCAATAACAAGCCTTTGTGGTGATACCATGCTTTACATAGGCATCATTTCGCACAACTAAGTTAGAGTACTTCTGGGGTTACAGTTATAGCTTTGGAGTATATCGACAACCTATCACTAATCAATATTAAACCGACACAAGTTGAACACACGGCTTCTAATTAATACCTGCAGTACCACCAGGTAGTCTAAATGATTTGGTGCAATTCATTACCTTATTTCTGCTGTCGATATTTAATCCAGACTCACGTTCTGTTCTGCCATCAGAAACAACTGGTACTGACCCTGCTTGGGCAGACCTGCTAATGCAAACATACAAGAAAAGTTTAGCATTTTTGTTAAATAAAACTAAGCTGAAGTTTTCATTACGGATCACACACTTGCTAGCCTGAGCGTCAGAATTAAATGGAGTCCCAACTGCAAGCTGTGAAGCTGCAGCTGTATACCCAGTCGATTCATTGTCCACCAAGTGAGGGCTGACAGATGAAGTAAATTTCAATTGAGAACTCTGGGCCTCTTCATTACCCAGTGGTATCGGCAGTTTATTATGATTTCTCAAGACTACATCATTTGGTCTAGAAGAGTGTGGTTTACGTGGTGGCTGATAAATGACAAAAGAAAAATGTTATTGCCCTTAGAAGACGGAAAAATTTGGGCGATAAAATAATAAATATCACCAGACAATCAACAAAATCGTATTTAAGAAGTAACTTGAATAAGCACTGATACCTTACAGATCCTTGATTTAGCTTTGATCTCTTTCTCCCTCTGTTCCCGTCGATCATTTAGCATCTGCCTTTTTGATCGGACTTCAATGAAATCATCTTCATCACTAGGAGCTTCTATACCAGGTTGCTTAAACACGCAAATGACTCCACTCTGTAAGGGGGCCTCCACATTCTCAGATGCAGTTCTCTTCAAATTTGCTTCACCAGGGTGCAAGGCATCCTGACTCTTATCATTTGCCATCTCTTTTGCTTCCCCGTCTGCAGCAACCTCCCGAGAAGTTAAACTCCCAGAAACAGAAGACTCAGATTCAATCCTTGGCTTCATGGTTCTATTAGAGACAGTACCTCTCTTTGACCCACTTCTAGCAAACACTCCAACAGTCTTCCCATTGTAATTAGATTTTTCATTTAAGCCCATATTATTAGAAGATACAGGTGGCGGCCTCCGGTCATTATTCTCACGAACCCGAAACTCAGTCCGCTGGACAGTTCGTCGTGGCCTTCTCTGAAACCCATTTGAATCTGATGGCTTACCATGATCCTGGACAGATACTCTAGTGTATGTATTTTTTACTGCATAGGTAAATCTTCTCCCCCTTCCACCAGATAATGGACCCAAACCTCTAGGCCCACCATAAATTCTGTCGCCTACAATGACGGACTGCATTGTTGATTGTGCGTGCTGTGAATCAAGTTCAGATGCCTTTGCCTTTGATGACGATGAGTAACTCTTCGAACCCGCAGAATTCTGTCTTTTCTCTTCTGCTAGTGAGCCAGAGGCCAACTTAGTTTCTTCAGAATTGTCCTTATTCACGTCTGTTGTATTCAAAAATGCATTCAAACCTTCACCAGATTGCTCAGTTGATGAAGAAATAAAACTTGGCTGATTGTTTATTGGAAGATTTGACACCTCACTCTTGGCTTCATTCTTATTAGAAGGTTCGTTAGCCACGGAGCCTCCGGCATTTTGGTTCAAGTTAAAATGGCCCATCATGTTAGGTTGAAGAAAAGATATGGATTGAGGGGCCATCGGCAAAATCCCCTGGGAGATGGGAGGCGTATAACGAAGCTGACCAAATTGGAACATGGGAGGCTGAGATGGATGCATATGAGTAGTGATGGATTGGCCGACGGGAGGATGGATATGCAGAGGCATTTGTATGGAACCAATCTGTATAGAAGGCACGGGAGATGGTATCAAGGATGGACCAGAAAATAGCCCAAATTGAAGCTTGACAGGTAAATCAGCCTGACTTCCAGAAGAAGATGAAGATGGCACAGTATCACTAGGCTGACTAAGAGCAGCAGTTGATGAATTTGTCTGCCGAGCAGCTAAACCAGCATCATCAGATAAAGCAGCAGTTGTAACATGTTGACCAATACAGCTCTGAGATGCCACTTCTTCTGGTACATTTGTAGAGCTATCAGTATTAATTCCAAGTGAATCATCTGAGGGCAGATAATTAGGTGGATCTGAAGGAAACCCATCAACGGTGCCACTTTTATTCGTGATATCAACAGCATTCTCGGTAACCTCAAATGATCCTTTTTCCTGAGTGTGTATAGTTTTCTCAAAATCATCGCTTGGTATTACGACTTCAACACCCTCGTCAAAACCTAAAACCACATTTTCCAATGCATGAGGTGACTCGTGTTCTTCGAGTTCCAGCCTTTCAAAGTTTTGGACCAGATTGAGATTTCCATCATCCCTGTCACGGACTTCATCCTCCTCTCTATAACCATCTTCATCCTCATCATACTCTTCTTGCTGCTGTAAAGTGTTCCCAGTTTCGACGGTCCATTCTTCATCATCAACAGCAGAAACATTATCCGAAACAATCAGCCTTGTATCATTTTCTGAATTACCATCAGGGACAACAGGTCGAGTTCCAGCCAATAAACTTCCCTTCTCTTTTCCTAGAGATGATCCTGCTCGAGAGTCCCCAGATTCTTCCAGCTCATCATGAGAGAAATGAGGTGGAGAAGTTGGCGGGCTGGAAACAGATAGGGATGACTGCGAGTCGCACCTTGATGCATTATTCAAATTCTGGCCCTCCGAAGTACTATTTTCCTGCTGAATTCCAAATATGTCAGATGGCTCAAGACCTCCTCGATTACCGTCATAATAAGCTGGAGATTCAGTTCCTGTGGCACGCGGATAATGAATGCGGTCATCGAGAAATGACGGAGACCCAGCAAGTTGGTCAGTAACTCTTGTATTAGGCCTTTGAGATGGAACAAGGGAAGGAGGCGGAAGGACACGTGGCTGCCTCACAGTATACCTGGATCTCCCATAGTTATAAAGAGCATTTGACTCAAGATGTGGATACAAACGTTCTGGGTAAGGAGGACGGGTATTGACCCGATGGCGTCCCTGCCCCCAGCCACCATCACCATATCTTTCCCCGAAACTATCATGAAATTCTGGTTCCATCTCGCTAAATTTACCGTACCGGTCGGCATTCCCCGGAGAAGGATTCCACCTATGATCTTTATGATATCCAAACTCTTCCATGTAGGTCTCCGGCATTCCTGCTTTCAGATAACCCCTAGAAGCCATGTATCCAGCTCCACCATAGAACTCTTTCCGAGGAATTCCTCTGCCACCACCAAATGCATCGCGTCTTGGGCTGTAATGTGTGGTATCCTGGTTCGATAGTGGTCCCGGGAATCCACTGCCATTTTCTAATTCCCCGTCCCTTTTAAAAGAATTATTTGCTTCTCCTCTGTCAGTGAAGTTTGAAGAACCTTCTAGAGGTGGATAAGGCCTCGAGCTCACCTCAAGAAGCATGCTGTGAGTAGACAAATCAAATGAACCAGATGCGACCACATTCTCCACCATTCTCTCACTATCTTCCCATGTATCCATATCAAGATTCCTAGAAACATGCCTTTCCTTCACCTCTGATTCCCATTTCTCATCAACAATCGTCTTGGACACAACAGCATCAGTTTTTGAAGTCTCAACCTGCCTCTTGGCCATCCTAGCTTCCAGCTCCTCGAGCTTCTGTTTGGCAGCTTGTTTCCTCCTCTCTTCTTCAAATTGTATCCTTCTCTTTTCCTCTTCCCTCGCAATTCTTTGCTCCTCAGCTTTTCTTGTGGCCTCAAGCCGCTCCTGTTCAGTTCTCCATGCAGCTTCACGGGCTTCCTCCTCCAGTTTCCGCCTTCTTTCCTCTTCTTCCCTAATCCTTCTCTGTCTCTCCTCCTCTTCTCTTCGGGCCTGCTCCATAGCCCGTTCTTGCTCTTCAATAATCCTCTGTCGCTCAAGCTCCTGCATCTTCTGGACTCTATCAAGCTCAGCTTCAAAAGATTCCCGTACTGGATCATGAAAATCGGTCAGTTTGGAGGTATCTTTCTTCCTTCTGATCACCCCAGCAACAAGCCCCTCAGAAAAAAGATCCCTCTCCTCAAAACCCGTGGGGCCAAAGTCCCTCGAGAAAGAGTCCTCAGACCTTTCGCTGTTCTGAAAACGCTTGTTGCGGCCCATATTCAGCAACGGGTCGGCCATGTGCGGCAATTTCCCACTTGAGGCAAATGAGGTTCTGGATAAGTTGTTGCTCTGGAAATTATTGCCTCTGTATCTATTAGGTGGTTCAGAGACATTGCGGGAGTTACGGCCTGGCCCACGGTAATTAAATGATTCCATCGTATTGTTTCTCTGTTGATGTTGTTGCCCCACAGGTCCCAACTCACTCCTCCCAAAGGCGGAAGAATCCTTACCATACACCATCCCCCCATCTCTACTGGTATCTCCATAATGAGGCGGGACATATTTATTCTCTTTCATAGAGTTATTGTTTCCAGCATCAGCTCTATAACTACCTGACTCTTGGGAGCTAAAGCTGTCTTTGGACGGCGGCGAGTTTCTCCACTTGTTGACTTCCTTACCTTCCCGACTGGGAACCCTGGTGTCTTTGCTGTACGTGTCCACCTTAGGGACTTCACCGGGAAATTTCCTCCCAGTTTCATTGTCCCATTGATTCCACCTGTCAAATTGAGTCTGCACCGCTGGTTTGTGAGGCAAAATACTAGGCCTGGGCAAGTCAAAATCTCTGTCCCAATAGCTTTCGCTGTTTGAGTACCCGATATCCCTTCCCTGGTCCACTAATCCATGGCTCGTATCACGCTCGTCATCCGCCCAATCAGACCTCGTGTTCATGCGAACCAGCGGCAGCGGATCGGGGAAATATTCTTCCTGCTTCCTGGTCTGATCATTCATTCGCCCGTTTCCAGCTCCTTGGTCCTTGCGACCATTTTCCGCTAGCCGGTTGCCAGTAGTATCACTAGGAGAGCGACCCATATCAGCCAATGGACCCAAATGATATCCGCCTTCCTTATCCTGGCCCACTTCCTCACGTGCAGCATGTTTTTGCTTCTGATTCGAGCCATCCTTCTGTTTTTGTGATGTTCCAGATGATACAGGCCTCGCCGCCTGCAGAGAAGGAAAATCCTCGCCTCTCAACAGCACAGCTTTGTCGACAACTGGAGGAACATCCCGAACCGCATTCGAGGGAGCCAAGGCTCCCGCCCCAGTGGAACGAGCAGAAGGCGGCATATAAGAACCAATGGCCCGACCACCAGCTGCTACATCAAGCCCAGAAAATTCAGCAGACATCACGTTCTTCTCCGGGAATGCAGCAGCCAACGAAGCAGGCTTTGTCCAGCCCATACCAGATGAAGTGGGTCTTGACCCACTCCCAGTTCCAGATCCAGCTCCAGGCCCTCCGGGACCGGAAACATCGAATTTCTCATGTTCTTTCCTCAGGGACGGCAAGTTCAAGGGGGGTGGGATCGATAATTTAGGAACAACCTTGGGTGTGGCACCACGGGCCCGAGATAAAACCAGCATGCCACCGGCACCCCCACTTCCAGGCCTGCCCCGCCCAGCTCCGGCAGACCCATAAGAGCCGCCGCCCGCATTGAAATGTGGGTAATGAGCGTGGTGGGAAGGCTGATGCTGTTGCCCGTAAGACTTGTTTAGATTCACTGAAACAAACTTGGAGCCATGATTGGCCATCTCGACACCAGATCCGACACCAAAAATGGAAATCGAGGAGCTCCTCGACCACGACAACGCATTAAAGCACAAACCCTAAGCACTCGTCACACTGTTTCTCCCCTGTAATACAACGAAAGTGAATGAATTACCACTTCCCCTCTCCAGATCTCAAAGTGGAGTAAGAAAGGGGGAAATAAAATAGAAACCCTAGCTACGAAAGTAATGAAATTAGCGATTAACAACAGTTCTAATCAAAAGATTGAGTTTATTTTCAGGCAATCTTATTATACGAGCAGATAAATGTAACGAAAAAGAGTGAAATGAACAGTGGATTGTCCCGATCAAATCGAGAAATGGAGGTAAGTGGGTGGATGGCACAGAAAAATAGCATACCTCGGAACGGCGTAAGATAGAAAAGCGGCAGGGTTGTTAGCGTGCGCCGAGTACGGACAGGTGTGATAGGAATAGAAGCCCACTGCGTACTTTAGGCCGAGAGAGAGAGAGAGAGAGAGAGAGAGAGAGAGAGATTTACAGATTCAGAGAGAGATTACGAGAGACATGAAGTCACAAAGCGTGTTTGATTTTGTTTTCTTTATCTTTTTCTTTTCTTGCTTTTTAAGGACTATAAGGGCGTCTCCAATGGTTAGCTATTTGGCTAACTATTATGACGTGGACAGGGAAAAAGTAAGAGAGAGAGTAGTCACTAGCTACTAACAAATAGCTTATCTATTTCACGTAGCCCAAGATCATGTGAGAGAGGTATGTGGGTCCAATAGTGTAAAATAGTTATTTTTCTTATCTCTCACATCCACGTCAGCTAACCATATAGCTAGTAATAGCTATTACCATTGGAGATGCCCTAATAAGTTAAAATGAGTGGTAAGACCGAGTGAAAAATGGGAAGACGAGGGGTTTTTATCACAAAATATATGAAGCCGATCATTTATTTCATGACATTGGTTTTCCAATCAAACCATAAGATTAAACAAATATCTAGCTATAAATTTTGGTATGTAGAAAAAAATTAAATTTTGTCATTTTCATAGTTTTTAAATCTAGCTTGAGTGTCATACCTCCGGGTCGCCTATACGATTCAATCATCGGGTCACCAAGTTAATTGTTGAAACGAATAATCAATTTTAAAGTTTATTCATAATATTTGCATTATATAAATATACATAAAAAGTTGATTGACATCCAAAAAAGCTCGGTGGACTGCATGTGTGGTTAGCTCGGGTATAGCCAGTCTGAGGGGAGTTTAAAGTTATGTTTGGTAGACCAATAAGCTACCTTATAACTTATTTGATTAGCTTATAAGTTCTCTATATTTAAATAAGTCTCGTTTGGTAGGACGAGCTTGTTTGGTAGGACGAGCTTATTTGATAAGCTTCTTTTGGTAGCTTTTCAAATAAACTCGTTGAAATTTTTATTTCAGCTAGCTTATCAGCTAATTTTACCAAACACTTTTATCATATAAGCTAGCTTTTCAGCTATAAGTCATAAGTTATAAGCTATAAGCTCGAAAATTACTAATAAGCTATAAGCTAGCTTATCAGCTAGTTTTACCAAACATAGCCTAAGCTCGGTGTCAGCGTTCGACTGCCAAAGGAGCTCGCTTAGGCGGCTCAGGATACAGGTCGACCTGATAAGAAGACCTGAACGTCGGGTTTCTTCAAAAGTTCGACCACTTGATATGTAGACAAAATTTTGGTATGTAGAAAAAAAATTGTCATTTTTCATAGTTTTTAAATCTAGCTTGAATGTCATACATCCGAGTCGTCTATACTATTCAACCATCGAGTCACCAAGTTAATTGTTGAAATGAATAATCAATTTTAAAGTTTATTCATAATATTTGCATTATATAAATATACATAAAAGTTGATTGACATCCAAAAAAGCTCGGTAGACTGCATGTGTGGTTAGCTCGGGTATAGCCAGTCTGAGGGGAGTTTAAAACTATGTTTGGTAGACCAATAAGCTAGCTTATAATTTATTTGATTAGCTTATAAGCTCCCTATATTTAAATAAGTCTCGTTTGGTAGGACGAGCTTATTTGATAAGCTTCTTTTGGTAGTTTTTCAAATAAGCTCGTTGAAATTTTTATTTCAGCTAATTTTACCAAACACTTTTATCATATAAGCTAGCTTTTCAGCTATAAGTCATAAGTTATAAGCTATAAGCTCGAAAATTACTAATAAGCTATAAGCTAGCTTATCAGCTAGTTTTACCAAACATAGTCTAAGCTCGGTGTCAGCGTTCGACTGCCAAAGGAGCTCGCTTAGGCAGCTCAGGATACAGGTCGACCTGATAAGAAGACCTGAACGTCGGGTTTCTTCAAAAGTTTGACCACTTGAGGGGACCTCGTGACAAGAAGGTCGTTGAGGTAAGGTCGTGGTTACGACCTGGTTAGGTTGTAAGGTCTCTTAAGGACCTAAGAGTCTAAGTGAAATATGGTGAGAGGGGGCAGAATCCTTTAATGGTGGAAAATATATCTCGTTAGGGAGGGTCAGATCTCAGTGGAAAATATATCTCGTTAGGGAGGGTCAGATCTCAGAGACATGATAAGCTAAGAAAGTGGATTCGGTTAGATCTCTTTCCTAACCAATAATCTACTTGGGCAACAAGAAACTCTATATATAAGAGTGATTAGGATCTACTTTGTTTTAACGTAGATTTACGCATACAATTTACATATTCTATAACGAACGAGTACTAACTTGAGCGTCAGACGTTTTTTCGCCAGGACCCTGACCCCACGTATTGCAGGTCAACAGAGCTCGAAGCAGATAATCATTCGCGATGTTGTCAGTTTAACACAGTGTAACGATAATTTGCGTATCAAAATGGCGTTGTCTATGTGAAGGATAATTTGCGTATAAAAATGGCATCGTCTATGTGAAGCAAATTAGTCTTTTACTGTCTATAAGAGACTAAGTTGGTTTTTTACAAAAGTGCTTTATGAACTTCAGAGATCATGGCCAAAGGCAACTCTAATAAGAATTTGGCGGGAGATTTATAATAAGCTTGGGTGTGCCAAGTGCTAGGTATACTGTAAAAGTTTGACTTTCAGATTTTAACAATTCCATTTTGATATGGTCTTCATGTTGTAGTCAAAGTACTTATGTTTGTATTTTTATTTATTTATGCAATCACAATTCTTTTGTCTTACATTGTAGATAGTATGGTTCGTTGTGTCGGACAGAAAGATCATGCTATCGGTTCCTTGTGAGGTGAATCTATAGTTCACAGTTTAGACAGACATTGAAACCTTGTTGGAAAAAAGGTTGTAGTGTAGTTTTGAATTAGTTGATTTTTTATTGACGAATTACACTAGTACTTATGATAAACATTGAACGAATCACATAAGGATAAGATTATAATAAATATTGATCACAACTATAATCTAGACCTTCAGTAAATGATGCGTACTCTTAAGCTGTAATATAATAAACAGACATAAATTCTCATTACTTGGTTATTTAATTTATCAAGGGTGATTCATGTTTTATTATGAAGACATACTCAGTATGTTGGTAAATTATGATGTTTATATGATGTGTTGTTAAAATTTTTTACGGTCACTACGTCCCAGTGCGCTGGGTTGGTGACGTCCACGAAATAAGCTCAAGAATAAATATTATGTCAAACTCTGCAGGCGGATGATTTTTCAACATGATGATTAAGAAAGAAGTTGATGTATTTTATTTTATCAGTAATTTAATTAATCAACGGACGCTATATCTTAAACATATAGATGATAAATCGATCAATTAAATTAATATTAATTAATTAAGTGGAGATTTGAATTTATTGAATAAATTGAAGCTAATGGGAAGAAAACAAGAATATTACTTTGGTAAAATATTTTATTATTTAATTTAATTAGGAGATAGTAATTAATTATTCTCTATTTATTTAATTCTCTAAGAAGAAGAATATTCTTTTAGAATATTACCAAAGATTAAGAGACTAAAGAGCTTTATAGAAGGAGTAATTTGGGTTAGAAGAAATACGACTTCTAGAAGTGAAAGGATATGGAGAATGATTATGCTTCCTAACCCTAGTTGAATAAGCTCATATTTAGCACATCCTTAAGGTTCTGAATGCAGTCTATAAATACACTGTGTGTCTTCCACTTATTCCCATGCATGTGAGTTGATTTTAAGGTCTTGAGAAGAGAGGAACATCGAGCATTACATATATATATTGAGAGTTCGGGAGTTCCCATTAATCGCCCACCAATATTATTCGAAGTAGGTGTTAAGGTAATACATTGGAAGGCTTTTGGGTAATAGCAGACTTCTAGCGACAATCCCAGCGATGCCCGCCTGCTCGCACGTTGCAGTCCTCGCGTGCCCGCCCGTCTGCCTTGCCGTGCACGCTAGTTGACCGAGAAGACAATGTGCCCTACTCCTCGTAGGCGTAAGAAACATGTTGCGCGCGCCCAATGTCCGGAGTCCCGCAGTGCATGTTAGCTGCGCAAGTTGTTGGCCCGGAAAGAGGGCAGTGTGGCACCTTAAACCACGTCCATCCATTCCCTGAAGAGGTTTTGAAAGTTGATCTACCGAGTAATATTCGCGAACTGAATTTATCAAACACTGGGTTGACAAATCTAGCCAGAAAACTCAGGTTGCATGAGATCATAACAGATCTTCGTAGGTACAGGGATATTGTTTGCTGCAATGCTTTTCTTACCACATTGAAGGGGTCAGCGCGTGATTGGTTTCACCAGTTGTCGATCGGGTCGATCTACAGCTTTGGGAGGTTAAACTCTCAGTTCATTAACTAGTTTTCAAGTGCAAGGAAACACACGAAGACCTATATGGCTCTGATTGACATACAACAGGGGGGGATACTCTTAGAGAATACGTTGTTCGCTACACTAGGAAGTGTATTGAGGTCCCTTCGGCGTCTAAGTAAATTAGAGCGGGAAGTCTCACAAAAGGTCTTCGACCAGGACCATGTCGAAACTCATTGGAGAAAGGACAACGCGGTCTTTCACCGAGCTACTGGCCAGGTGCGCAAAATACATCAACATGGAAGAAACAGAGGCTATTTTCATCCAGAACAACAACGCCAAGGTCAAGTGAGCAGATCAGAAGTCTCACTCGGAGAGAAATCGGTCTTTAAAGGACAGAGGGACGTAACAAGGTAGGGTACAAGTATGGGCAATATGCGTCTTTAGTTGTGCTCTAAATGAGGTGTTCGAGGTCCTTGAGAAGCAGAGATAAACGAGTATCTTTGCTTGACCTAACCTCATCCCAAAGAAAAGACGGTATGTACCTTCTCGAGGTGATCCATATTGTAGGTATCATAGGCGCTGGTCACTCAACCAATAGTTGTAGGGATCTAAAGGACGAGATTAAGATGCTCATTTGAGTCGTGCTAGGTTGTGCTGAAAGATAAAGACAAAAGAGATAGTCGTGAGGGCGTAGGAAAGACGAGGCCGCCCGATAAGCCTTAGAATAGACTGCCCAAGAGGAGTGTGATTTACAGATCGCAAGAGGTCCCATTGATGAGGACTTCCAAAATGCGAGGAATATGATGTGTCGCGGTAAATAGATCACCAATGAGGTTGCTAGGATCCATGTCCATTAGCCCGAGGTCACTCTCAAGTTCGGGTTGGAGAATGTGTGGGGTATCTCACCCCGCACAATGATGCTTTTGTCGTCACGGCCGAGGACACAAGTTATGATGTTTTGCGGGTGTTCATCGACAATGATAGCTCGATCGATATCATTTACCTATAATTTCTAAAGCAGATGAACCTAGACGTAAAGGTTGAGCCAACCAATACCGTTATTTACGGACTCAATGACAACGAGGTCAACCTGTAGGGGAGGTGTTCCTACCTGTGGCGTTAGGGCGACCACCTATCAAGAAGGTTAAGATGGTATGCTTTCTGGTAGTGGACACTAGCTCGGCGTACAATATTATTTTGGAGTGTCCTAGTCATAATGCATTTTAGGACACAGTACCGCCCTACTGCACGAAGGTTAAGTTTTCGGTTGCGGACCAAGTTGGTGAGGTAGAATTGGACCAGTGGCAGGCTCGGTCGTGCTATTAAACGATGCTTAAAAATGCATAGGCACAAGAGCGAAAGGAAATCTAGGAATCAAAGTAGCACAAAAACTTTAGCAAAGAGGAAGTCCAAAAAGTTGAGAATGTGACGAAGGTCATAAGGCACCTCCCAGAGGACATCCAGGTTCCCTTTTTGTTTGTTGAAGGAGTACGCAGACGTAATTGCATTTTCGACAGATGATTTGACGGGGATAAGTCCAAAAATAGCTGAACACAGACTCAACATCGACCAAACTGTAAAACCAGTGAAGCAAAGAGGAGGCACATCATTGTAGAGCTCAGCATGGTGATCGAAAGCAAGGTCGAGAAGCTTTAAAGGTAGGTCACATACGACCTATCCAGTTTCAGAGTGGTTTTTGAGCTCCATGATGGTCAATAAAGGCGAGGGCAAGTGGCAGATGTGTATCGACTTTGGAGTCCTCAACAAGAAATGTCCAAAGGGCTACTACCCTCTGTCGAGGAGAGACAAACTCGTGGAATCGACAACAGGGTGTTAGTTGCTCAGTATGATGGGCGTTTCTCAATGATAGCACCAGATACCCTTGGCGGTCAAGGACCAAAAGACGGTAAGCTTTGTGACGTCCAAAGGCATTATTATTATGTGACGATTCCTGTTGATAACCCTTAGCTACCAATGTGGTTCATGCAGATAAAAGATAATTTAGAATGAAATTGGACCAAAGTTTGGTTCGAAGAGAGATCGACAATAGGTTTAGAAGATCGTCACAAATATATAAGCGTGAGAAAGTAAGTACTTTTAGTGTATTATTTGCTTGCCTTGCTTCTTATTTTTCATAAGTATGAGTGAAGAAAAAAGTTAATAATGGCGGCATGCCATCTTAGGTGCTAGGTGGTTGACACATGTAGAGATATAATCCGACTTTTGAAGATGAGACGCTCATTTCGACTTTTGATGATGAGACATTATTTCCATAGTTTAATAAAATTAATATATAAAGCAAAACATGCACAAGAATAACTTCAAAATTCCATTAAGAAATAAAATTATTAAAAAAAAAATTTGATGTACATGTGGTGCCATCTTCCTCTTCGCTCATTACAAATAAATAAATTATTGAAAATTGATAAAATCATACTTATTTTATATGTATCATATAAAATTATAAACTCTAACTTATTCTAAAATTTAATTGAAAAATTATTGTTAATTAAGTTACACATTTATATTTTTAACTTTTGTTAAAATTTATTGGAAGGGCTAATCGTACGATTCGGTGAATTCATTTGGCATCATCCTTCAAGTTCAAATTCCAGACGGGGTTGTTACAGGTTGTGTGCTGCCGTAGGGCTGTTATCGAACCGAACTGAACTTAAGGTTTTTGAGCTCGAGTTCGACTAATTTTTGAACATATTCGTGTTCATTCGTGTAGCAAACGAACAAAAAATTTTGTTCGTGTTCGTTCATTTATTGGTTTGATAAGTTCGTGTTCGTTCGTCTATATAGTCGAACTAGTTCGTGAACTGTTCGACAAGTTCGTGCTCGAATTGTTCAACAAGTTCATGTTCGTGTTTGTTGATTTTTTTAATACCATATAGTTATTTTTTTAATATTTAATGTATATCTATATTTATATATTATACTTATATACTATAAAATTATAAATATATTTTTGTTCGCGAACTTGTTTGCGTTAGTTCGATAACTAAACGAATATAATTTTATATCTGAGTTCGGATCAGTTACTAAATGAACGAGTTATTATCGATCATGAACGAGCTTTGTTTGCGAACAATTCAGTTCCACAACAGCTGGTATGTCGTATGTGCGTAAGCTAACCGAAAGTTTAAGGGATGCTTGGATATAAAATTACGTGAGTGAATGAATAGTGAATTAAGGTTGATGTGATGTGCACAAATGATTGGTTGATATTATTTAATTATAGTAAAATATTGATGATAGTGGAGTTAAGTTAAAGTTGAGTTAAAAAAAGTAGTTGAGTTAAAATGATTAGATTTTTTTGAGATAATTTTGTATCCACGCATCCTCTTAGGCACTGAAATGCAAATTTGTATAATGTCTGGCCTGGTCAGGGAAAATGAAGAAACAGAGGCACCGTTAATTGAAGTGGCTGTAAACACAACAGCAAACTTTTCGCAGCGAAACTGAAAGAGCGAGAAAAAATGGATGCTAATGAAGCTCCTCTATCCACATCCCCATCGCCGCCATCATCTTCCTTCAGGTACGCTATGATTTCTCTCACTCATCAGCTGAACATATATTTTCGATTTTGGTTTTTTTCAGCTCGTGAGTTGAGGAATTAATGGACATCATTTGATTTTTTGTGGTGGTGTTTTAAGCTTACAACGCCATTTCTACCTGGCCGTTGATAGACCTCAGTTCAAGATGGTACTTTATAATCGATTTTTCTGTGCGCTATTAGGTTCATACAGTAGTTTAGGTATTCTGAGTTGTTTGAAAATGGGAACGAAAAACTCTCAACAGGACACGCTGGTTGATCTATTAGGCACGGCCGGGCGGCGCCCGTATCTTCCGGTGGTTGTGTGTTGTAGCACTCGCGACGAGCTGGACGCGGTCTGCTCCAATGTCTCGAATCTGCCATCTTATATTTCTGTTTCCTCACTTGTATGGTTCATTATTTATATTACTTTTTTCAAGTTTTGAAGTATTGGTAATTATCTGCTTTCCCCTAGCTCACTAAATGTTGTTGCAAATTCTCCAGTACAGTGACCTTCCGGAAGCACATAGAGCCGAGGTCTTGGATAATTTTCGTCGGGCGACTGTGAGATGGAATAAGTTGGGAAGAGAGGACGAAGCTGATGGGGAGGCAGAAAAGGAAGATGAACGGAAGTCGCACGTGATTGTTGTTACTGATGCGTGCCTTCCTCTTCTTGGTTCCGAGTCGCCTGTTAGTGCTCGCATTTTGATCAACTACGAGCTGCCAACTAAGAAGGTCCTAATTTTTATGTTTTCTGTCTTTTCTCAAGTCAGATTTTTCACCGAGTTTCATCTATTGTCTCCTAGAGTGTTTGGCCCTCTTTTTACCAGTCCTCTTTTTATGTGTACATGATGTTGAAATATGACTCGACTATGTGAGCGGGCAATAAGATTAGATATTGTGAGTTTTGCGTGTTTTATGAGAGAGTATCTCGTTCACTCGTTTATCCTTCCCACTCGTACGCTTCCCTACATCCGATGCCTATACAGAATTCAATCAGGAAGAATTAGCAATTAGGCACTTCAACGTTGTTCTCCAAGTACATGATGCAAGTTCTTGTTGGTTGTGATACAGCTAGAATTTCGTTTGAACCACTTATGTTTGTTTGTAGCCTTAACAATGAGCTGCCTTCTTACGTTTATTATGACAAGACGTCTAACTGTGAGCTGCTTTCTTACAAACAAGACATCTTGAGTAAATAAGATTTAAAATCCTGGTACAGCTCAAGTTTGAAAACCTCTATAAGCACCCTTTGCACCATTCTTACTATCTTCTGGAGCAATCCATGGTACTCTGTGTTTTACACTTTTAATTATCCCTTTTGTTTCATCGGTCATATTTTATATTGGTATTTTCCTCTCACACCCCCCCACCTCCCACCACATATGTGCACAACAAAAAGGAAAGAAAGAATAGACCTATGCTGTGTGCTTATTTTACAAAAATATCATTAATGTGTTTAAGGTATAGGACATCAATTAATGATATATTGTAATTTCATAGATTGGGCTTGTTGATATGTTTTCCTTTTCTGGTTTGCTCCCAGACTTGCACACACACACACACACACTCACACACACACACACACACACATATATATATCATTGTATCTTGTCTTCTTGGGATATGGAATAGTATCAGTTCGTTTTGCTGGTGATGGTAGTAGAGCGAGGTTAGGATTTGAGTTCTCAGGCTCCCTTTTTAAAATTTTCTGTTTGTTTTGCGAGTGCCTATGAGTTTTGAGTCTCACCTCCCACATAGGTCGACTTGCCATCGCCGACCGGCTTTCTGGCGAAGTCCCATTTTGCTCTTCAAATGTTGACAAATGGGAGGTTACATCTTGTCATTTTAACGTACCAATAGAATTTGGAAGCTATGTTTTGGTGGCTCAATGTTTATTGCTGTCACTACAGCAAACACATGTTAACACAAACATAATGAATGACCTTGGAGGTCGACATCTGATTATGATTATCATTATTTCAGCAATTGAATTTAAACTGTGATTATTCAAGAGATTACAGAAAAAATGAATGGGGGACATTTTGCTATGTTCATTTTCCTATTATTATTATTTTATTTGATTTTTTTTTTATTTTTTTTATTTTTTTTATGGATAATCTTCGTTCAGGAAGAAAAGTTCGGCTTTGAATGTAATCACAGTGACTTGTTTCTTTGAAAGTTGTTAATTGTTTTCTCTTGTCATGCACATAATTGCAAAATCATCTTAGCTTCTATTTTGTAATACTAAATTGTTAATTTTTTCTGTAGGAGATCTATGCAAGACGCATGGCAGCCTGTTTGTCAGCAGGTTAGTCTATAGTTGAAATTGTGTGATTTCAGCTTGCGAGAAAAGAGAAAAAACTAATGTTCCTGTAAATCTTACTTGGAATAATCATGCAAATTGGCAAAGGCGGTTTCAATATTTCCTTACTTTCTATTGTAGCTTGTTTTTAACGGCCTCGTACATGTGATGCATTGCTTTTTTTTTTTTTTTTGAATGGACAAAGATGGCATTGTGATTAGCATGGTTGTTGGAGGAGAAGTAATGATTCTTAAAACCCTTGAAGAATGCAGTGGTCTGGTAATAGCTGAAATGCCGATACATGTAAGAACTCTGTTATGTATAAATTCTCTGAGAATATATTATTTTCTTTTTAATATCTCATAAAGTAATGTCATGTTAAAAAATGTGACTGTCATTGGCCACAAAGCTGCAATCATCTTAATTGACTTTTGGTCTTTTGATCCAGTCTGTAATTATTATCTGTTGTTCCTCCCCCTTAAGCATTGTTTCTAACAGATGAGGTGTCTTCAGTTATAATCTGTTTTTTGTTCCTCCCTCTTAGGCAGTAAGTCTAACAGATGAGTTGTTTCCTTTGAGCAGATATTCGAGATAATTTGAAGACGTGACCTATGAGTGCCTGAAGTATGTAAGACAAAGTATGTATCATGTGGTTAGAAATGTTTTTGTCTTGTATAATACCAATGTTTGATTTGATGTGCGATTTCGATCTTAAATGTGTGCGTTCAACTTTTTCGTTTTTCAACTATTCCACCAGCAGAATAGTACAATATTCCATGTGATTCATGAGGAACTTATTATTGCACCTCAATATGTCTGGAAAGAATGATTAATAGTTGCAATTGACAAAATCTGCATCTCTCTTTCTCTCTCAGTTTCAACTGGTCTAGAGTTGGAATCTGTAAATTCTGCATCTCTTTCTCTCCCTCAATCACTGCAAAACAGCACAGGGGACGAGAGCTAACTTTCCCCAAGAGGAAGCTTGATTTCTAGTCGTGTACTTCAGTTTCACGCATAAAATGCCAAAGACTTCCAATCAACCAATGGAATATGACTTCTACCATCATTTTGTATACTTTCAACAAATCTGACCTTGATATTCAGTGTGGTGTTCTTATACTTCTTTTCCAGGCTCTTCTGTTGTCTAGGACATAAGAGATTAAGTAGAAAGCATGAAATGTTGTGTAAAGTATACAGATCATTAATGATAATTTACTTGTAGACGGATCAACGTGTCATCCTAGTAAATTAACTCCTTTCTTGAGTGAACTCTTTGTTTTGTGGATAAAAAATTCTGAAGTCCAGGCAGTCATCTTACTATTTCACTTTTATTTTTATTTTTAAATTTTTTTGTATGCTGAACTCAATACAGGCTGTGTGCAATTGTGACATCCGTTGCCAAAATTCATGATCAAACTGATGGCTCCGAGTACTGCAACTATAATTATAAATATTAGCTTTTTAGGAAGGGAGAGTTATTCGTCCATGATCAAACTTCTTAGAAACTAACTTATATTTACATTGCTGCCAAGAAATGGACTTTGGCTGCCATGGTAAATGACTGCTCAGCATACTGAAAGCCTGGTGGGGACCAAGATTTATATTAGGAACGGAGTTCATTGTGATGCTTTTAGGGTGATTTTAGAGATGGCCCACTTTGAGTTCGGCCGAATGAATGTTTCGCATGTTCATGAGCAGTATCTTGGTCCCAGCATTAGGTCCCCACAGATTATTGAAGTGTAGTTTGTTTCTTGATTTGGTTGATTCTCTACCAGATCTCATTTTTCCATTTATCTTGATTGATGATTGTAGCTTTGGGAATCACTCATATTTTATCCATTTCAGGGGGATCATGATTGATATTTTTCTACATTCTACAGTTGACTCAATTATGCATTTGGTGCTTGTGCGTGAATTTCATCTGTTTGCAAATTGGCTGGTGTTCTTAAATAATAATTCTAAAATCCATGAGCTTGGTTTTTCCTGGAGCACAATATAATGAGTTTCTCTGAACATTTAGTTAACAGTCAGAAGTGAATAAAATCCGTGTTTTCTCTTATATCAATATCCTGGTGTTTGGTAATCGAAAAATCGATGCCCAGGCTGCTGTTTGCATTTGATTTAGAGAAGATATACTGTGCTGCCTTGTGAACAATTGTTATTTTTGGTTTTTTGCAGCTCAACTGTAATTTCCGAACAATTTAAACAGTCGCAGATCAGCTGGAAATCCTATTGACATGTGATGAAGTGTTCCAGTACACCCACACAAAGTCACAAACTCCTCTGAGGGTAGCCTTGTTGGATTTCTGCTAAGACAGTCATAGGTTAGCCCTTCTATTTGAGATTATCGGATAAAAATTCTTCCCGTAATTGGGAATTCTACATGAACTTCCTACCTTTTCAATTTCAACCGAACAGAATCTGATAATACTTGTGAAATTGATCTTATTTTGGTTTGTTTTCTTATTTTTCGTTTCTGAGTTCTGCATAGTAGGACGTGGCACTAAGAAACCGACGACTCAATCTTTTGATCTCATTTTTAAAAATAAGAAACAGCTTGAATCTTTTTTGCTCGACCTGTACAATCGCTAGTATTAAATTAGTAGATTTGACACTTCATCCGCTATAGCCTATGGCTTTCACGTTAACTATTACACGTGAAGGTTTCTGTCCATCATTTGCCCTCCAGGGGCCTTCACACCCCAGAAATGAGGGAATAAGACAGCACGAATCATGTCCGGCTTAAGGGAAAAAGGGTTCGAAAAGGGAAAAAAAAAAAAAAAATTGGGGTTATTGAGATGGGGACTGGAAAAAGAAAAGGGTTATTGAGATATGGTCCCTATATTTTTGTGATGATATGTCTGACAATTTTTGTATCATTTTGTGCCTGCCATTAAAAGGAAACTGGCAATGTGACATCCCTTTTCTGTGGCCTACCTCTGACTTTAGGCAGTGAACCTCTGAGTGAGTGAAAGAAAATGCATTTGAAAATCAATTTTACTGATTTTTCTTTTTTTTTTTTTTTTAATATATATTTGTTTTATCCGGTTCACTTAATTGAGCCTGGAATCAAGAGCACCCGATGGCCCTACTTATTACATTTGCTGCAACTAAAACTTGATGCATTTTGGTTGTCTCAGCTTGGTAAGACATTCTTGCCCTCTTTCTCTATCGTGCTATATGCGGTTGTGAATTAATTGCAGTCTACTCACCTATAACTTTTGAAATACATTCTCTATTCGAACGATATGGAAAGTCGGACTAGCCAACTCATGATCATACATATTTCCTGTGTGCTGCTGCATATTGCAAAGCTTACAAAAGAATATTTTTTAGGTTGCAACGCGCATAAGTTTGTAAAATATGCATTAGAGTTAGATGTGCAAAACTGTGATGGCAAGCAAAATCGACTAATCCAGGGCTAAATTTAACATGAGACAGCTTCTCAATAACTAGTGTAGATTTTTATCTAGTCCATGGTGTAAAAAATTTTCACCAGGTGCCGTAAATTTCTGGAGCATAAAGATTTTTATGCAGTGATTTTTGTGTAAGCTGATAGAAGAGAAGGTGGGACCTCTCTTGTACTTTGTGTCAATACAGTAGGAAATATTCCTGTTTCCAGGCCCAACTCACACGTGAGGTAACAAAATTTGTCCGCTTGGCATTGCCATGGCACGTGCAATGCATGCTGTTATGCAACCACGTACACAAGTTAGCTTCCCATTTCCAAAGATTTATACAAGTACACTATAAATATACCGGAGATGCAATTGTACTGTTACGGAACCAGTCCATTGGAGTTTGTAACCTTTAGATCATCATGTAACCGTCGGATATGGTTCAGTGACATGTTCGTAGCATTTCTCATAAATATACTACTACACTTGGGCAGTTATATGTATATATTTTAAATAAATATAACTGTTATGCTATAGGAAGCAGCATAATAAAAGTGACTTTTTGTGGAATAAATAATTATTTTTTATTACAAAATTACGAAGGATCGGTCCGTTTGATGGTTAGGCCGGTTTAAGTAGTGATTTGTGTAATAAGAACTAATTGCAATATGCTACTGAAATTAAGTCGAACTACAATGTATATATAGGCAGATTATACGGTACCGTTATGGAACCACTCCGTCGGGGTTTGTAAACGTTAGATTAACTATTTACGACGGTTACATAATGATTTAACGGTTACAAGTCTCGATGGAATGGTATCGCACCGGGACTGTAATATTTTTCATATATATACACTAAGCAGATTTAGTAGTAGTAGTAATACATGCCAATAAGGTACTTCTATTTAAGAAGCATTTTGTTTCCCTCACTGTAAAGATACTAAACCTCATAGTGGTTTTCATAATCAATTTTAGCAATAAGTAAGTGGATAGCAAATTAACAAATCACAAGTTGCTTCGTTTATATCGCGAAATAATGATAACGACACGTGTAAATATCAATATAACTAATGAAAATATATATAACTAAAATTCTTAGTTTTGGAAAAAAAATCAGTCACTCACGACATGTTGCATTTTTATTCGTTCTATTTCCCAAGAAGAAAGAGAAATCTAATAATCTATCTTTCTATTATTTTCTTTTCGTTTTAATCTAATAATCCATCAATCTATTATTTTCTTTTCAAGTTTTACTAGTACAACACCCGTGTATTACACGGGTGCTTGCTAATTTTTTTTTTTCTTAAAATCTAAAATTAATGAAAAAAGTAGTTTGAAAATTTAAATACCTTTTATAAGAATATATATTATTATATATTTATTATGACACTTTTTGTTTGTGCAATTTACTTGTGTTATATTATACTAATTTTTTTAACTTACAATATATAACTACATTACATATAAATATATCAATTGAGTAATAATTTTATTTTTTTAATGAATTTTAATAAATATTATTATTTTTTATTATTATAAAGATAAATATAATTTATTTATTTCATATATACAATATGGATATCAAATTGAAGATCATCAAAAGATGATTAATTTGATATATTATATATGTAAAACCGATAAGAAATACAGAAGTTATCAACTTTTAAAATATATTTATAATTTAATTGCTTATTAAAGGAAACAAATCAAAATTCAAGGATATATTAGTCATTTAGTGCCTCACTATGTAAAATTACAAAGAATTAAAGGGTTATATTAGTAAAAGTGATATTAAAATACCTAAGTTAGCTTAATAATATTTATGGAATACCCGAACTTAGATTATTAATTATTAATATATCAATATTATTTATCTAAACCTAATTACGAAGCATGATTCTTCGCCAAATAGGATTCCGAAGCACCAGAAGCAGCCACATAGACTCAGCGCATTCGGGAATTATATATAGGGAGGATTTCTAACTAATATTTAGCTTTTTAAAAAAAAAAAAAAAATAAAAAAAAAAATAAGAGGGACACGTTATTGATATTTGAATCTACTGACCAAAGTGCCTATTATTACCAAAATAATAGGCAAAATTCAAAATAATCCCAACATATATACCTACATTCATGCGCAATGAAATTCTTCATCTATGCATTGTGAACACATATATATAAGATGTGCTGACTTGCCATATGTATCGAGATCTCGTCATCTTCAATCACATACTCACGGTGTATGTCATGTTAATCTTCCGCCACATCAGTTGGTAGACATATTAGCATGTGTCCATTGTGGAAAAGTGAGCGGGATTGTCATACTTTAAAATGCAATTCAAGAAAAACTATGTTTATATTAGAAATATGTATTTTTTGGACGAAAATATGACTAAACATAACGATTACATTGCTTAACAACAACATTTATATACTGAATGATACGATTCGACTGAATTCCATTAAATGGGATATACAATCTACGGTATCTAAACAACTAATGTAATTCCATAAACCAAATATCGTTAAAAGTTGATGAAATTCAAAAGAATAATTAGTAATAAATCGAAATTCATCATTAATTGAGGAAATTGGAGTCGATTAGGAACTACGAATTTCGAATTAAGGATATCTATTTTATAGAATTCATGAAATTTCAAAATTCAAACTATCTTTATATGTAATAAAATTATAAGTTCATCCAAATTCCATAATGAGGTACACATCCTAAGATTTTGTTCATCTTTAGGCCAAGGAAAAAAAAAAATAAATAAAAAAATATGAGGCTAAAGTTTTGTAGCAGTGTTTAGAGACAAAAAAAACTGGCTTCAGTTACAAATAGGACAACCTCTCCTCATTGCCACCTTCCACCTTATCCTGCCTACATCTGTTCCTACACCACCAAACTCTCAAACAAAAAACAGACACTTTCACCTTAAAACCAACACAACACAAACATTTAGAGAGAGAGAGAGAGAGAGAGAGAGAGAGAGAGAGAGAGAGAGAGAGAGAGTAGATTTTGTTCATAACATCTTTGTGGTTTAAGACATTAAATTTAGTGATTCAGGTGTATATAACAACAGTTTGTTTTTCTTTTTCCATCAAAGCTTTGTTCATATATAATATAGATCTTTATGATGATATAATTGTTTTCTTTGTGTTGGCAGTGCATTTTGAGCTTCAATCAAAGAAATAAAAAAAAAAGGGAGGATTGTGAACTTGTTTGACCTGTTTTTTGATGGCTTCAGCAATTTCAATTCCTCTTCTGGAGGACCTGAACAGCTCCCAAATTAATCAAGATTCTGAGTTTCATGCCTCCAAACCAAGTCTCACTTTATCAGAGGTTTCGATTCAATCAACCTTATCTTTGATTTTCCTAGAAATATATATATATATATATATATATATAAATTCGCGGAAGATGCTGCGTCCCGTTACGGAACCATCCCGTCTGGTTTGTAACCGTTAGATCATCATGTAACCGTCAGAGATAGTTGATCTAACGTTTACAAATTCCAGACGGAATAATTCTGTAACGGGACCTTAGCATTTCCCTAAATTGCACTCAATTATGAATATTGCGCTCATAATGAGGATCGTTAGTATAAACAATTTCATGTGGTCCACAGATCGTTATTTTAAACAAGTATATCAGTCAATCAGTCCACATTTAAAATTCTTTATTTATTTATTTATTTATTTTTATTTTTTATTGTCTTCCTTAATTCAATTTCAGGTGATTTTGGAGATCAAAATGCTGTACACAATCGCGTTCCCCATGATCGTCACCGGCCTACTCATCTACGGCAAGTCCCTCATATCCATGCTCTTCTTGGGCCACCTCGGCAAGCCCGCCCTCGCCGGCGGGTCCCTTGCCATCGGCCTCGCCAACATCACGGGCTACTCCGTCATCTCGGGCCTCGCCTCCGGCACCGAGCCCATTTCCTCCCAGGCCTTCGGGGCCCGCCGCTGGCCCCTCATGGCCCAAACCCTACACCGCACCATCATCCTCCTCCTCCTTGCATGCATCCCCATCTCCATTCTATGGCTCAACATCCGACCCGTCCTCTCCCTTTTCGACCAAAACCCCGAAATCTCCAAAATAGCCTCCACCTATCTCGCCTTCTGCCTCCCGGACCTTCTTCTCCAGTCGTTCATAAATCCTATCAAAATTTATCTGAGGTCCCAAAACATCACCCTCCCGCTTATGCTCGGCTCGGGTTTTTCCCTGGCCTTGCATGCACCCGTCAATTACTTGCTCGTTCGGAGAACGGGCCTTGGCGTGAAGGGGGTGGCTCTTTCGGTGGTTGTGTCCGATCTCGTTTTTCTTGGGAATCTGACGGTTTACATGGCGTGCGCTTGGGGTTTGGAGAGGAAAACGCGGGCCAGGGGCACGGCCCGGGAGATCGAGTGGGTCCCTATACTGAGCCTGGCCCTGCCCAGCTGTTGCTCGGTGTGTCTCGAGTGGTGGTGGTACGAGATCATGATTGTTCTCTCGGGCAATTTGTCGAACGCCCCGGAGGCGGTGGCGGCCATGGGGGTGCTCATGCAGGCCACGTCGCTGGCTTATGTGTTCCCGTCCGCGGTGGGGCTGGCGGCGTCGACGAGGGTCGGGAACGAGCTTGGCGCCGGGAGGGCGGAGGAGGCGCGGGCGGCGAGCGCGGTGGCAGTGACGTGCTCGGCCGTGACGAGCGCGGCGGCGGCGGGGGCGATGGCGGCGATGGGTGGGGCGTGGGGTAGGGCGTTCACTGGGGACGGGGCGGTGGTGGGGCTGACGGCGGCGGTGATGCCGGTGGTGGGGCTGTGCGAGCTGGGGAACTGGCCGCAGACGGCGGGGTGCGGGGTGCTGAGGGGGAGCGCAAGGCCCGGGGTCGGGGTGCGGATCAACCTGGGCTCGTTTTATGGGGTGGGCCTGCCGCTGGCGGTGTTTATGGGCTTTGGGATGAGGATGGGCTTGATGGGCCTGTGGCTGGGGCTATTGGGGGCCCAGGTGGTGTGCGCGGGGGTCATGGTATGGGTCTTGAGCAGGACAGATTGGGTGGTTCAGGCGAACAAGGCCAGGGAACTGATTGGGGCGGTGGAATTAAATCGTGAAGGAGAAAGTTTATTAGCAGCCACAAAAATTGTATACTGAATTACTGATTAAAGATATACTTTTCTTATAATTAATATTTTCTTTTCCTTTTTGGTGAATGGTGACTGAATAAACGAGGGCTTGATTGTTTATGAAATAATTTGTTCAAAATAAATTATTTTTGTTAATTATAGTCAATTTTGAAAAAAATGTATGGTTAGTTGTTAGTGAAATTTTAAAAATGTATTAAAATAATATTTAAAATAAAATGATTAAAATTGATTTGATGTAAAAGTAACAGATAAATGATTGGAAATGATAGGTAGTTAAAATTATGTGAGTGGATAAATAGTAAATTAAAATTAATGTGACGTGTAAGAATGATAGGTTTGTATTATTTAATTATATGAATAATATTAAAGATGGTGGGTTTGAGTTAAAATTGAATTAGATTTTGAGTTGAAATAAAAGTGAATGAAATAATTTGTAAACAATAAGTATTTTTGATAAAGTATTTACTTATCATTTCATGATTATTTTAAATTATACGAAACCATAACCTTATCTTCATAATTATGGTTTTCTTAATTAAAATAAGTAGGATGTAGCCGACGGTTTTTCAGCCTTTTTAAATTAGAAAAATAAAACTATTAAAAACAATTAACGGGATTAAATTCAAATATGATTTTCCGAAATATGCTCAACCCATAACTTGCCATAATGGAAAAGAAGAAAAAATGATTTTTTTTTTCACCAATCCTCCACAATTGTGTATCTTCAAAACAACCCACACATAAACAAACATCACTATAACCACACAAACCACATCTTTCTACCCAAACTTGTCCATGACCAAGCGAAGAAAAAAGGATGTAAAAAATTTGGCCAAAGACGAAGTTAGATTAATTCGGTCCCAATCTCGTCTAACATCTCAATTTCAAGCATTCGAGCGTAAGTTCGTCCAAATGAAACTTCAATTTCAGAACATTGAAGCTCCAAGTGGCTCCAAAAAGCAGACAACCAACGCGGCAGAATTTAACTCCGAGGGTTATGACGATTTTGCGTCTGAACTCAACATCAAACGAAAAAACATAAAAGAATTATGCCGCATGAAATTAGGTTTTTTTTTTTTTTTTTTTTTCCTTCTTTCCTCTTATGTAACATGGACCATGCTGGTCATTTTTCATATGTTCAAGGGACGTCATGGTTGGTTTGTGGTCGTACTTTATGTCATGTTTAAACAATTCTCATATGTAACATATAATGGTTATATATCGTCTACATTAAGTTTAAGTTTATATATTTTTTATGTCATATATTTAATAATCTTTGTATGACTATGAAAGTTTATGTTTTTATCTTTTATCAGGATGGATTATATGTTACTTATCTCATGCATACTTACACGTCTTATGGATTATGCCACCATGGTCTGAATATGTATATGCTTAGTATAATTGATTAAACTTGGAGTACGTTTAGTATATCATGGTCTGATTATGTATAGGTTTATCTGAAGTATAACATTAGTATACCTATTTAATCTTGAATTATGCTATCATAGCCTAAATATGTCTTCATAAAAATTTGTTTAATCATTATACTTCTAAAAATCCATTATATTAAAATAGACACTGTGTAGTATGCAATGGAGAAAACGGTTGTCCCCCTTGTGGTGGAAATGCACAAGTATTTACTTTTGGGCAGTTGCTTTGGCCAAATGTCCAATCTAATTTTAATTTGTTCCCCC